GGGGGACAAGGGGGGAAAAGGGGGAAAAAAAGGGGGAAAAATTTTAAAAGCCCTCCCAAACGGTGAAACCGGTGGGGGAAAGGAAAATTTTAATAAAACCACCAACCTTCCTAACTACTGCTACTACTGCTTGCTGCTGCCTTGTGTGGTGGTGTTTGTTTTGGTGTCAGCTTGTTATGCAGTCCAATTTGGGAACGGACAATGGTTTCGGGTACTTCGTTTGCTTCACCTTCACACCAACAACCTATCAGAAAATTCGAGGAAAATGCCATCAAAATTTAAAAAAAAAAATCGGTAATCAAAGCCCCCTTTCTTGCAGTACAACCGTTGCAATCGGGCTGTGGCCCACTTTATAACTTGGTCCGCAATGAAGTTTTAAATGACCGGTGAAAAAAAGGAAAAAAAAGTGGTGCATGTTGGGATTAAAACCCTGCTACGCTCACAATATGAATGGGGAGGAAGACAGTTAGGCAGTTGCTATTGGAGGACTCACCCATGACATGCAGTGGCTGGGAGAAGGTTGGGTCCGCTGGCAAGAGAAGAAGACACCAAGACTCCCCCAAGCTTCACTCTATTCCTGGTAGTAGATGTCGTTGGGCACTTGATACACCCGGCAGCTCCTGCAATTAACGAAGGCGTGTCCCTGTTATAATTTGAGGAGCCCTTTCTCTAATGCCAGCTATGTAGCTTCTGCTTTAAGACTTGCTAATGCCGTGCTATGTACAGGGTAATGGCAAATTTTCATTTGGGACATGGTTCTAACACAGTAGCAATGCTGGTATCAACATGCAGAGAAAAGGTCAGCAGTAGAATGTTTACTCATGGACCGTACTATGTGGAACGCTCAAGACCACTCACTGAATGTACAAACCCACCCAGTAATGTTTATAGACCCACTTCGTATCCTGGTGCAGTACGAATGGCGGTGACGACAGAGAGGGCCACGATGTGCTGGAGGAGGGAGAGGTGAGCGAGGAGGCGTGACTGAGGTCTCAGTGCTAGTGGGCATGAGAACATCATACAACCCTTGGGAGACAGCCAGGCATTGTCGTGCCTCCCTGTACATACATAGCACAACATTAGCAAGGTCATACAGTTCTTTAATGCAAGCACGGGTAGCTGTGTTGCTTGCCTTGTTGAAAGCAAATAGGTCATCATGCAGTGTAGGTTTTTTTGTATGGGAAGTGGTGGGTGAGGCATAGACATAACAAGTTTCGCATCTCTGTCATACACATTCACTAGAGAGTTGCTCTACTGACAAATAGCTAAGTTCAGTGTCTTGTTACTGAAACAGACACATTTTTGCACTGGGCCCTATTGTTTAGCTCTATCTGCATTTCTACATTTATCCCTTATATATAGTGCAAACCATACTGCATTGAGGGTGGAAATCTACCCATCCACGCAAGCATTGCTAAAGTCCCACCAGTGGTCCTGTCGCAATAGCAACCAGTTTATTTACCTCTTCCCTGGGTCTGCTGACCAGCCACACAAACCACACCCATCTCTGGTCTCAGAGCCCGAGTGAACACCAAGTTCCCCGTGAGCATAGTCTGCGTGGACCCAATCACTGGGGTATAAAGCAGGGTCCTCCCCATGTGTCCCGTATGGAGTAGCCTCTTGTACTGAGCAATATCAAATCCCAGTTCCTCTAGGTCTCCCTGTAGTGGTCTGGTGAGTAGGACTATCTTGTTGGGGGCAGGGGTGGGTGGAGGATCGACCGACGAGCCTTCAATGGCAGGGTCACTCGTCATTAGTTCAATATCCACTCCATTGCCTTTCACCACCCCTTCCTTCACTAGTGGAGCCATCACAGAATGAAACTGCGCCCTCAACTGTACAGGTGAAGCAAAATTAATTTTGAATGTCCCACTCTTCATCAAAGTATATACAGTGCAGGTAACCGAAGGCTAACCAGCCTACTATGCCACATGTAAAATGGTAGGGGTTCATACAGCACAAGACAAAGGCAAACCTTAAACGACTATGCATATGGGACAGATATATATACCTGGTCAGAACACACAAGATAGGAGAGTGTTGGAGTAACACTCTCTCCTTTGGAGCACTCCATCCCAATCTCCCTCAGAACGGACTGAAATAAACTCAAGACATTTTGGGCATCATTTTTGAGAGCCACTAGCTGAGAGACGCCGACGGTGGAGTCTTCAGAACTGGGAGTTGATAGAAGATCCACGAGAGAGAGAACAACTTGCCCAGAACCTCCCTCAAACTGCAGCTGCTGAATGCAATCCACAACTACTGAGGTTTCAACATTTTCTCCTCCTCGTTCTCCACTTCCGCCCCAATTCACCTCTCCTCCTCTTCCTCCATCCCCTCCTCCATTCACATCTCCTCCTTCACCTCCTCCTCCTCCTTCTTTTCCTTGTGTACCCTCTCCTCGTTCAGCCGTACCATTCTTGCATGGTCCAGCGACACTCAGACTCACCTCTCTCATTATAGCCAGGGCTCTTGAAGTCTTCTGCTGCGGAAGTGTAGAAAGAGCATCTGGAAAATTCTCCACGCGGGGTGCACAGGTTCGAGCAACTATCCATTCATTGGGTTTAATCTGTGGGGTGGCCCCTGTAATCTCAACCAGTCTGGACCGTTGGAAGTTCTCCGGCAGTTGAAACCCAAACGCAGCGTTCGTCGTATCGTGCGTGCTCAGCAGCGTCCCACCGTTCTTGACGTAAGACTCGAGCTCCCGCAGCACCTCGGACCCGTCCGGTAGCTGCAGACCGGACGGAACGACCAGGAGCCTGCAGTTGTCTCTCCACGGAACTCGACCGGCGTCTTCAAGCGGTAGCGGGTAAACCACGTAGCGCTGTGAGTCGAGAGACGAGATCAGGCACTCCCTGACGGCGGAGAAAAAGGATTTGTTTTGTTGGGAACCCTCGCCTTTCTGGGCGCCACACAGGACGAGGACGTTGGGAGGTTTAGTGCTGATTCCACGACTCATAGTCAGCTTTCGCAGGGGGCTGCGGGTACAAGAAGAAGCGGCTACAAGAACACCAAGAACACGCCTAAATGCAACCTGCATTTGTTGGGCATGGCATGCCGGCAAGACATGAGATTTTATGCGCATGCGCGTAACGGGTTAAACTAGGGGGTGGAGTTGCCTAGAGTGCCTGGCGTCTTTTCTATGGTCTTTTCTATGGTCTTTTCCGTGTAGAGATCCCATGGAGGACGATAGGAAACCGAGGCCGAGGGCCAACAGGTACACACGTGAACTAATGCTCGATTGCGCTGCGTAATGTGCCAGTGGGTGTCGTGCGTGCTGCGCATGGGTGATTTTTGGGATATCCGATATTTGCTTGTTGTCACTCCAGCACGGCTGGTGAATCCCTCTACCAGTCACTAGGTGTTCCGAAGGGCGCAACTGAGGAGGAGATAAAGAAAGCCTACAAGAAGGTCTGTGCTGCATTAGTTGTACCGCTGTCACTCGTGAAAGTACGTAGCTACTACACCTGATGTCTGTTCTCCTCAGTTGGCATTGAAGTGGCATCCAGATAAGAACAGAGAGAATCCGGATGCAGAAGAGATTGTGAGCTGCGTTTTGTTTGTGTAGTGTCACCTGGATGTACTGTATTCCTTGTTCCTCTGGTATCTTTCCAATGCATGTTCACCTTTCAGTCACGCTCACTTTGCAACACAGAAAAAGCTTACCAAAGTCCCTGGTCTAGACCATTAATAAAACTGTACCATACTAATGTGCGTAGTGTACAGTGGTAAGCCGGAAGCGTCATTCGACGTGTTAAAGTGTAGTCCAACAAACTTAACACCAACAATCTTGGTAAGGGGAGGGCTGAAGCAAACGCCCTTGCTCGCTTGCTTATGTACAACTGTTACATCAAACCAGGCTGGTGTGTCGCCTGCTCGTGCATCCACCTATATCTTACCATCCACAACCTACTCCATTTCACTACCCACTCTTCATCTGTAAAGACTGAGACACTATATACGCATGTGTACCCTATATATCCCATAAATAAAATGGTATAAGTAACATAGAGAGCCCACGTGGGGCCAGTCTAGCACTAGCCAAGTCTAATGGCAGCTGTAACGCATCGAATGTGCTGAGACTCGTAAGAAAGAGAACAAGATCCTAGCTGGTATAGCCATGGGCGATGCAAGCGCTACTGGCGAGGTACCGGAGGTGACACATCATTCTTTCTCACCCTCCCACCTTCTCAATTGCCCACCCACCCTCCTATCACACCATTTTACCTAACCCCCTCCCATCTCACACACCCACCCTCAATCTTACCCTCCCACCTACACGGTGGAACTCCTCTCTAAGGAACCCTTGAAATGAAAAGCACTGAAGTGCAAACCCTCGGCGCACTGTGACGCGCACGCGTAAGTAAATGCATGCGCCGTAACACTAATTGATGGGCTGGGTTTAGTTTTAGCTGTTACTCGTGGTCTCTCTTGCCAGCTCGCGCAGAGTCTGACGCAGGCTAACTACACTACTAGATAGCATGCGAGAGGCGATACACGCCCTGCCTTGCTTCTTCTGGTGCCTCCGAGGTACGCAGAGCACGCGGATCGATCATGCCGTAGTAAGCCGTTGTGTATTTGTATATTGGCTTTTTCGCGCTCTAGCTTTGCAACAGAGTGTTTTCAGAGAAAACTGTTCGAAATTTCTGACCTTCATTGCCCGTTCAGTAGATGGCATCCTTTGTGAAACGAACGAACACTCGCGAAGTGAGATGACGAGTAACAGACAGACAGACACACAAACCCAACTAACTACCTTAACCCTCGCTGCGCATGCGCGCCGAGGGTTAATGAGGACACCTCTCTAATAAGGACACCATTTCTTTAGTTCTTGCAAGCAATTTAACCCATGAATTGACACAATTATGGTTCTTTTCATTGGTGTCTGGATTAGAGAGGTTCTACTGTGATTATTACATCTACACACTATTTTACCCATCGCCCTCCCATCTCACACACCCACCCTCAATCTTACCCTCCCATCATACACACCCACCTTCAATCTTACCCTCTCACACACCCACCCTCAATCTTACCCTCCCATCATACACACCCACCTTCAATCTTACCCTCTCACACACCCACCCTCAATCTTACCCTCCCACCTACACGGTGGAACTCCTCTCTTGAAATGAGGACACCTCTCTAATAAGGACACCATTTCTTTATTTCTTGCAAGCAATTAACCATGAATTGACACAATAAGGGGGGGGGGGGCGATTTTTCATTGGTGTCTGGACTAGAGAGGTTCTATGGTGATTATTACACCTATCCACGCACAGTTCAAGGAGGTCAACAATGCCAAGACCATTCTCCTGAACGAGAAGAAGCGGAGGATCTACGACCAATATGGCTCCATGGGTCTCAAACTGGCAGAGCAAGTGGGAGAGGACAACCTAGACCTCTACATGTGTCTGGACAGCAAACTCATGAAGGTATGTAAAACAAATACTGTGTATGGGGATGCATCAGTATGTCTCTCCCCTTCTCTCCCTCCTCGATCCCTCAGTGCTGTTGCATCACGTCGTTCTTCCTGACCTGCTGCTGTTTCTTCTGCTTCTGTTGTTACTGTTTCTGCTGCTGTTGCTGCTGCGGTCTGGGCAGGCCAAAGGAGGAGGACGGTATCTACGGTATGTCGAGAAAAGTGAAATGTACTATATAGCAAATAAACAAACAACAACTGTTATTACGCGTATACTGTAGGTTGAATCTCGAAAACAGTGCAGTAAATTGCAGGGTTTACTCGGCCTACATATATACAGTTATAACTAATGAGGAGGTGGAATTTTTTGGAAATGAAATTCGTGCAGCAGCTTGCATACGTAGAGTTCCCCATTGTCTTGGATTGTGTCTGAGGAACTATAGGGTGTAGCTGGGGGCAGAGGTGAGTGTTGGAGGGTGTATTGGGGGTTAGTAAGAGAGAGACACTGAGCAATTGCATTATTGTGTAGCCTACCATGTGCCAACAGTCGAGAGGATCTAAGAGTCCAATCATACAATGTAGCTTTGTAGTCAGTCTCGACCAAAATGTCGTCCAAGTCACTGGAGCACATGATAGAGAGTAGGGTGAGTGAGTACTACATAGGTATTGCTGCATGAGCAGCAGGCGTGTTCTCTGGGCGGAGTGTTGAGTATGGCTTATAGTCAGTCTCGACCAAAATGTCGTCCAAGTCACCGGAGCACATGATAGACAGTAGGGTGATAGAGAGTACAGTGAGTGAGTACTATAATATACACATAATTATATTGCTGCATGAGCAGCAGGCATGTTCTTTGGGGGGGGGGAGCGTTGAGTACGGCTCCACTCATTTTCTCCTCGTGCATGGTCTATGGCCCTTGTACTAGTGCTGCCTGGTGTTGGTGTGTTTTATATAGGGAGCCCTATAATATGTCGTCTGTTTTACTTCTTTGTTTATATGTTAGGTGTGACCTGTTAGTTTTATATGTGTAGTTGACTTTGTTTGCTTTGCCTTGCCTTTCTACCTTGTTACCAAGTTGCCCTGGTATATACCTCAGTTGGTAGAGCACCTAGACTGTCGTGGGATCGAATCCCACCCAGGGCAGCTCTTCTTCTTTTCTTTGAAAGAAAGAGCTGTCCTGGGGTGTAGTTGACTTTGTTTGCCCTGCCTGCCTTTCTACCTTGTTACCAAGTTGCCCTGGTATATACCTCAGTTGGTAGAGCACCTAGACTGTCGTGGGATCGAATCCCACCCAGGGCAGCTCTTCTTCTTTCTTTGAAAAGAAAGAGCTGTCCTGGGTGTAGTTGACTTTGTTTGCCCTGCCTTGCCTGTTCTACCCTTGTTACCAAGTTGCCCTGGTATATACCTCAGTTGGTAGAGCACCTAGACTGTCGTGGGATCGAATCCCACCCAGGGCAGCTCTTCTTCTTTTCTTTGAAAAGAAAGAGCTGTCCTGGGTGTAGTTGACTTTGTTTGCTTTGCCTTGCCTTTCTACCTTGTTACCAAGTTGCCCTGGTATATACCTCAGTTGGTAGAGCACCTAGACTGTCGTGGGATCGAATCCCACCCAGGGCAGCTCTTCTTCTTTTCTTTGAAAAGAAAGAGCTGTCCTGGGTGTAGTTGACTTTGTTTGCCCTGCCTTGCCTTTCTACCTTGTTACCAAGTTGCCCTGGTATATACCTCAGTTGGTAGAGCACCTAGACTGTCGTGGGATCGAATCCCACCCAGGGCAGCTCTTCTTCTTTTCTTTGAAAGAAAGAGCTGTCCTGGGTGTAGTTGACTTTGTTTGCCCTGCCTTGCCTTTCTACCTTGTTACCAAGTTGCCCTGGTATATACCTCAGTTGGTAGAGCACCTAGACTGTCGTGGGATCGAATCCCACCCAGGGCAGCTCTTCTTCTTTTCTTTGAAAAGAAAGAGCTGTCCTGGGTGTAGTTGACTTTGTTTGCCCTGCCTTGCCTTTCTACCTTGTTACCAAGTTGCCTGGTATATACCTCAGTTGGTAGAGCACCTAGACTGTCGTGGGATCGAATCCCACCCAGGGCAGCTCTTCTTCTTTCTTTGAAAAGAAAGAGCTGTCCTGGGTGTAGTTGACTTGTTTGCCCTGCCTTGCCTTTCTACCTTGTTACCAAGTTGCCCTGGTATATACCTCAGTTGGTAGAGCACCTAGACTGTCGTGGGATCGAATCCCACCCAGGGCAGCTCTTCTTCTTTTCTTTGAAAAGAAAGAGCTGTCCTGGGTGTAGTTGACTTTGTTTGCCCTGCCTTGCCTTTCTACCTTGTTACCAAGTTGCCCTGGTATATACCTCAGTTGGTAGAGCACCTAGACTGTCGTGGGATCGAATCCCACCCAGGGCAGCTCTTCTTCTTTTCTTTGAAAAGAAAGAGCTGTCCTGGGTGTAGTTGACTTTGTTTGCCTTGCCTTGCCTTTCTACCTTGTTACCAAGTTGCCCTGGTATATACCTCAGTTGGTAGAGCACCTAGACTGTCGTGGGATCGAATCCCACCCAGGGCAGCTCTTCTTCTTTTCTTTGAAAAGAAAGAGCTGTCCTGGGTGTAGTTGACTTTATTTTGCCCTGCCTTGCCTTTCTACCTTGTTACCAAGTTGTTGAGACATGTATGACACACATTAGTAACAATCTTTATTCTCTCTCCTCCCTCCTTCCCGTGGTATATACAGTGGACCCAGAGGACCTGCTGGAGGTGGACGAGGAGGAGATAATCCAGACCCAGCCCACCGCAGACTACCACAGTATAGAGTCAGACAAACAGCTCATTCCCCTCTCCTGAGTCTCACTGGAACTACTACTATAATATACGCTAGTGGAATTTCCGTGAACCTATGTATATGTACTTGGGCAGGTGGTGTTGTGTCTAGGATCTATGAATTATGTTTTAACCCTCTACATTAAGGTTTTGAGAAAGCTTACTGCCTGTGCACAAGACTCTCCTGCAAAATTTATAAATGCACTCAATCCTGTACGTCAGAAATTTTCACTTTCCTATATAATATCCTAGCTAGTACATTTTCCACCTCCAAAGAGAGAACAACTTCCAATTAGGACCAAATGCCTGTCCAAATATGTCTATTATTCAGAGGTTCCACTATTAATGAAACAATATCACTTGAGAGCACTTTGTCACAGTTTTTCCCTCTACGGCAAGTAAATGGTTTCTGTATAATTATAGCGCATGGCACGTGTGTTGCTGGAGCAAAATTGATTGTGAATACATGCAGTTCAAATCACTACCAGTAACTGGCACAGCTTGATGATTTATATATTATATAGCCTTGTGAAAAAGAATAATGATAAAGTGAGAAAGGAAATGGAGACAAATGAAGAAACAAGGAGAGATAAGTTAAAACAAAGAGAGCGATAATAATGATGATGATGATGAAATGACAGGGGCGTCAATACAGCAAGAGTGACAGACTAATTGCCATGACGACCATCCCCAGGCCGAGGAATACGGGGACAATCAGTCCGGACTTCTTGTCAAATCTGAGAGCTGTGGGTAGGAGTTCCTTGAGAGAGATGTACACCATCATGCCGGCGATGGCTCCGAATGAGACTCCATACAGCAGAGGACCGAAGACGTCCCTGAGGATCAGCCAGCCCAGTAGAGCTCCTGAGGGAGAGGGAAGGGGAGGGAAGTGAGGGGGAGAAGGAGAAGGAGGAGAAAGGGAGGAAGCAATTGGGAGGAAGGGAGGAAGAGGAAGGGCAAGAGAAAGACGGCGTATTTAGTGGAAGTATATATGCCATCAAAGACTGTGCATAGCTCGAAAACGGATGGTCACCTCAAAAGGTAATACGACATAGGTCTATCGCACAGGAATACATGATTAAGCATTACACAATACCCATTCTGGGTGAAGATTTTATTGAAAAGATGGAGGGCCTGTTAAAGGCTCTTGTCAGTCTTGTGGCTGCTTGTGACACTCTGGAAAGGTAATGGTGTAATCACATGCACATGCTTGCTTGCATGGAAATGCGTCAAGTTGAAACAAATTTTGGAACACCCAAACTGTGGCCGGATTTTGAAGCTATATACTAACATATGTGGGAAAACAGTGTGACTAGTAGCTGAGAGTTAAAATGTAGGTCGGTTAGTTATCAAGCTGATCTACTATATACATAACTTTCAGACAGACACAAAGTGGAGGAAGTGGCAGGATGAATTATGCAGCGAGTATATACCTGTATTATAGTAATCTGCAAAATAAATTGCATCCCAATCACATCACATCACAACAATTAATTACTGTCCATGCACACTGTCCAAGAGTACAGCACACACACGCACACGCACACACACACACGCACACACGCACGCACACACGCACACACACACACACACACGCACACACGCACACACACACACGCACACGCACACACACACACACACCTAAAGGCTCTGATATCCCAGAGAGGAATGCCCACAGGAAGCCCCTGACCCTGCTCCCAGTGGCGTAGTAGACTGGCATGGCCACGCACACTCCCTCGGGGATGTTGTGCAGAGCAATGGCGATGGCCAGCGCTCCTCCGAATGCCGGTGAGGCGAGAGTCGCAACAAACGTCGCCAGACCCTCCGGGACGTTGTGGATACCGATGGCCAGCCCCGTGAGTGCACCCATTCTCTTGAGGCTCTTCTTGTCGGGCGACATCACCTCAGTCACGTCCCGGAACTCCTCTGGACCCAGCGGGACAAAATCCTACAGGAGTGGAGAGACATACCGAGTCAATGAATCACGGGGTGGTATATACGCTCCCACTCGCCAATTATACTTATATCCATACAGGAAACTAGCAGAGACCCACATCGTCAGTCATCTCTTGGTAAGAGTTTCTTCTTCCGCGGCCTTTTCTCTTTGCCTGGACCACCACTCCACTGTCGTCATCTGGATCTGCAGGCTGGGGGAGGGGTAGGAGGGGCAACCCACCAGTTTGAAACATTAAACACTGGTCGATATACTACAACGAATGGACGCATTTTTGCTGAGCAATCACTAGCAGTTGAATTATTTAGAATGACGCTCAATTTGTCACCCTCACTCAATTCCCACATTCAGACAACTACATAGGCTTGCTTTGCTCACCCATTACTCTAGATTCAAGAGTTACGTACAGTATCAACAACAGGACTGCTGTAAGATACTACACAGGACAAAAAAACGGCACATTCAGACAAGTAGGCTGGCCTTCCTCGCCAACAGCGTGAACCTGGGGCAAGTATTATTACGGTGCTGAATGTTTCTGGCAGCAAAGTAGCGAATGCAACACATTCTTGGCGAGAAAAGCGAGCTTTGAACCGCAGCCCATGATGTTCATGCACGCACCGTGTTGTTGCACAGAGTCAGTCCACGTTTGGAAAAACTGTGTAGTTTAGACAACTAGGTAGGCTCGCTTCGCTTGCCAATGGGGATTGCAATGCTATATAATTGGCCTGGCATACCGAGCAGAGCATGCTAAATTGTGGTTGACTTGTTTGCCTTGACTTTCTACCTCGTTACCAAGTTGTTGAAACATGCAGTACTCTGTCTGCCAACAGGGAACAGAGCCTGTGCACCTGGTCTCATACGGTTCAAAGGATGCAACTCCCCAATTTGCAACAGAATGACCTAATCAGACACTTCCTTAGTCTGTTCCATATAATTATACTGCCCACAGAGAACACAAAAGGGCTAATAATGCACTTGCTCCTTGGCTAACCACAGCTGACAGAGTGAGGGGTGAGGAATACAGAGTAGGACAGTAACACACCCGTGCCGACTTGTTTCTACTTTCTACACTTTAGTGCGCACTCGCGCGTGAAAAATGTCTGTGCTAACTATCGTAGCGACGACGGCGTCGTTCCTCGCGCAATCCCTGTATGCGTAAAAACAATTGCCACGTCGATTGGAGTACGTACTAAATAAGTAAGGCATCTCGTCCGTTGAAATCTATGTGCGTTAGAAGTGTTCGGGCCCTTCATCACGTAGCGTCTTCACAGCACTCAGAACACTACAACGCAACGGCCCTCGGCTTCTAACGCGCGTACATTTCGTGGACACGCTCCGTAACTAAAAGTCGTGTCCACAGCAATTAGTTTTTAACTCCATTAAATCTTCTCACCTCCACGCAGACCCGAGAGGCCGAGTCTCCGACAACTTTAACCCCGTTCTCCCCAACCACGCCCACGGCCGCGGTACAGACGGAAGCGGACTCGGGAATGACGGCGTTCATTCTCAGGAGACTGCTGTTGGAGAAGAGTTCGTTGACGCTGGCCGTGGCTATGATGTTGTTGGTGTTCTCCGACATGGCGTTTGAGACGAGGGAGATGGAGACCCCGTCACTTGCTGGGAGAGGGAAGGAAGAGAGAAGAGGGAGGGGAGGGAAGGAAGAGAGAAAGAGGGAGGGAGAGGGAAGTAAGAGAGAAGAGGGGGGAGGAGGGGAAGGAAAGAGAAGAGGGAGGAGGAGGGGAAGGAAGGAGGGGAAATAAAAGTACTGAGTCATAACCCATCGAAACACAGAGTGGTTGCACACTCATGCTGGTGCAACATGATCTGCTGGTGCAACATGATCTGCAACTAAGCCATCTGGGTACATGTAGGTCTGGTAGGCTTTAGGCATGAAAGTTGGTCCTGAAGATGTCATACTGCAAAAACTATACCTCCTGACCAACCAAGGTTCATGGACGACAGATACACGAAGCATTCACTAGCTGTTTTGTGATCTGATGGAAGACTTCCGATTTCGAGATCAATGAAAACTTGTCAGTAGTTACTGCACGCAATGATGAGTGGGTGGAGTCTGACCCACTATTCTTCTTGATTATAGGGTCTCCATGCAAAACAGCAGATCAATAACGAATTCACCAACACTGTGTGAAAACCTTTACTGCCACTGCATGTATGGCACCTGAATAGTCACAACCTGTTCTCACTCGGCATATTATTTTTGCAACACTGCACATCAGAAACTATTTGCGCAAAGCAACGGGCCTTTGGACGCATGCCATTGCAACCACAGTCTCCCCCAGTGTAGGCAGATCTACCTACACATATATCAACTACACACTTTACTACCCAGCTAATGGACAGTTTACAACCCAAATCAGGAAATGTTCTACCCAACCCCTGAATCAGGCCACCACAAGTTGTGACACTTTGACAGGACTTTACTAGTTACTATAATAGCTGAATCCTTAGTAACCCCAATCAGGACACTTACTACCAATCTGGACTTATATGGACACTTTACAGGTAGACCTTTGACTGGGGTATACCTTGACTGGGGACAATCCAATCTCACAAATCTAGTGGTTTTAGATACCTCACTCCCCACCCTGTCTGGTTCACATACCTCCCTATACCCCCCTATACCCCATAGTACTCACATACCCCATAGTACTCACATACCTTGCCACAAGCAGACTAGACACACACCACTATCCACCTCATTCCCTTTCTCCAGTGGCTTGTGGCTATCTTGTATCTAGGTTGAGACTAGTGTGGTAATTATACTGCCATACCAGTTAGAGTCTGAGAGTGCTGGACGCTGGAATTCTCGTCTTCAGCAGGAGCTATAGTCTTCACCTCCGTCTCCATGACAGCTTCCAATACAGCCACCTCTTTCATTTCCGCGCCCTCTGCCTCCAGAGCTGCATCGCAGCCCTCCTCCAGGCTCTGAGCTGTGGGTGTGGTCGAGTTGCTAGAGCTGCTCTCCGCGGATCCGTTGCGGTTGTCGTGTGGCGGGAGAATCAGAGCGCTTGCGTCGAGACTGTCTGTGTCGAACTCAATCCCGTTTACCGCCTGAAGTCTCACTTTCCCCCTCGTGGTCCCTCTCCTCCGACAGCCTTCCTCTATCGAAATCCGCTCCTCTCCTCCTCCTCCTTGTCTGTGCTGCTGGGTCTCTCCTTCCCCGACGTCCAGGGTTTCCCTGGCGGTAGAAAACTTGACGCGTTTGACAATCAATCGCCCCGTGCCGCACCCACAGTCTAGTTTCTGAAGGCTCCACACTAGAATGTCCAGTAACGCCGTAAGGAGGATCCCACCGAAGAAACACGACGTCGCCAGAGCGTCGAAGTGAGCCGGAGACACGCAACAGAAGCTGTTGAGGGACTTGGTCCGTATGTCAGTGAACGACACGTAGAGCATGACGCCGGCTGCCAGGGCCATGGCGGCCGCAAGGAACCGCGTGTTTCTCTGCTTGATGAACGGGACGAAGGGCAGGAGGGCCCCCAGCGTGGTGGCCAGACCCGCGCCGATAGTAAGACCGAAGGCAAGGCCGAGGTGTTCGTCCGAGGACTGCTCCTCACAGATGCTGGGATCCGGGCAGTTCTCGTACGCAGGGACGTCTGCCAGGCAGTGGGAGTACTCCAGGCTGGCGTTGCCCACCGTACAGTTGAGGAACTGGGTGTAATTCACCATCTTGATCGGCTGCTTCGTCTTGATCCTCTCTGGAGCTCCGTTCTTCTGCTTCGTTCGCGCATGCGCGAAGGTTCTGCCGGCCGGTTTTTGGTGGCGCGCGCATACGTCACATGTCGTAATAATTATGTGCAGCTTCTCGTCGTCTGCTGGTCTGCTTGCAAGGACAAAAGCGAGGTGCTCTCATCGAAGAACTCAAACTCGAACTTGGCAGCCACTTACACGGTATTTTGTAGATCAGCATGTCTTTCAAGGACGGGATCCCGCTACTCAAGACGCTGGACGACGAAGAGGACGGGTCGGACGACGACTTTAGCGTGGAGCTGGCCAGCGCCTCTCGCCACAAGTGGGGACGGAAGCACCTTCTCTTCGGGCTCGGGCTGGGCCTGGTCGTGTTCGTGGTCGTGGCTCTCATCGTGGCCGTTGCGGTCCCCGTCGCTCTCCTGCAGGGAGGAGGCGGTGGGAGCAAGGCGGGAGGAGGCAGCACCGATGCAAGCGAAACAAGTTCCATCTCCCCGTCTGTTACCGTGAGTCTTCTCCAGTAGCTATCATACCATCACAAGCTCCACCGGTTCGGAAGTCTGTCTGCATAGCCTAGTTTACTGCTCATATCTGTTGAATTATGGTCCTCGCTGTGTTCCTTATAATGTTGCAGGTATCCTCGTTCTCTATATCCCCCACTCCCTCCCCTTCTTCGACGTCTATATCCCCCACTCCCTCCCCTTCTTCGACGTCTATATCCCCCACTCCCTCCCCTTCCCCCAACGACCTCAACAGCTACAAGCCGACGTCCGACGACCGACAGTACGACTTTCTCGTCCTCTCCAACTCCCTACGAGTCGTCCTCATCTCCGACCCCAAATCAAACGTGTCGGCTGCGTCCATGGAGGTGGCAGCCGGTTCGTTCAGTGACCCGCCGGACGCAGAAGGCCTCGCTCACTTCTGCGAGCACATGCTCTTCCTCGGCACGGAAAAGTACCCCAACGAACACGAATACTCAAACTACCTCACCGCACACGGCGGCGGGGACAACGCCTTTACCTCCACGCAAGAGACAAACTACTATTTTACGGTCGATTCAAAGTACCTGGAAGAGTCGCTGGACCTTTTCGCCCAGTTTTTCATCTCCCCACTGTTCAAGAACAGCTCGGTGGCTGACGAGGTGCACGCCGTCAACGCAGAGCACGAGAAAAATCTTCAGTCGGACCCGTGGAAGTTGTGGCAGCTGCTCAAACACGTCTCGAACCCGCAGCACCCGTTTCACCAGTTTTCGACCGGAACTCTCTCTACGCTCAACAATTCGAATCTCCTGGACCTGCTGAAGACGTATTACAGCTCCAGTTACTCTGCTAACACAGTGAGTCAGATTGTGTATGTAAAGTTTCGTAATCTTTGTCAGCTATGTTTAATACTACTGTTAGTGAGTTACAGCAACAAGCAGTAAAGTCAATAGAGTCTCAGGCTATATATGTTTTCTCAGAAGGAAGTGTACAAGTACAGTATGTCTAGTGTCGCTGATTAATGTTTTTATGTACAGGATGTGGATGTGGTGTCAATGTTACATGTTCTAGGTTGAGTATATATGTACCCCTAATGTCACTGTGGGATACAGGATGTGGAGGTATATAGTGTGTATTAATTAATCATGGGGTTCACATTGACCCTCCCATGCAGTTGATGCAGAGCTATGTGTAGAACACGTGGGTGCAGAGCCTAGGGGCTTTATTCATAACCAGTCTTACTGATATTCATTGGCCATAGTTCACCTCTGAATCCACTCTACTACATACCAGTCATTTCACGCATGGTGTAGCTGAGTGAGTGACTAGAATACTGACTGTGGTAGGTTCGAACTCCACCCAAGGCAACCATCTTTTTCTAAAAGAGTTGTCGTGGATGTCGTTTGCTTTATGCCATTGCCCTTCGACGTTTACATGTTGTATTTTTGTTGGGGATGTGCTCTGCCTAGACTGCATAGTGTCGTGGGTTCGAATCCACCCAGGGCATCTCTTTTTCCTTAAAAATAGTTGTCCTCGGGTGTAGTTGACTTGTTTGCTTTGCCTTTGCCCTGGGACGTCTTTATTGTGTACATGGACATCCGTAGAAACGCTAAGGTGTGTCAATACCTGTTCCATGAGCGAATATACAGTGTATACAGTGGAACCTCCGAACAAGAGACACTATGGGACCAACGATTTTGTCCCTTGTAGAGAGGTTGTCCCTATCTCAGAGGTCAAATAATACACTAAAGTATTAGCATGGGGTTGAAACAAGTGTCCCTTGTAGAGAGGTCGTCCCTATGTCGGAGTTCAAATAATACACTAAAGTATTAGCATGGGGTTGAAACAAGTGTCCCTTGTAGAGAGGTCGTCCCTATCTCGGAGGTAAAATAATACACTAAAGTATTAGCATGGGGTTGAAACCCTTTGTAGAGAGGTTGTCCCTATCTCGGAGGTCAAATAGTAATACACATGGTGTTGGAAAAGTATCCTTTATAAGGTAAACTAAAAAATGCCAAGAGGGTCTCTTATCTAAAGGTCTACACTACAGAGTACATGTGAGGGACAATGTACTGAGTCTGAATGTTTCCCTAATCTTTCCCGATTGCGTTGCTCTTGCATCAGTTCCAGTGTGTGTGTTTGATAGCCCGCCTTACACACAGGAAAATAAATATACACAGCACGCACTGTCCCAACCTTGCATTTTTATGTACACATGTATACTGTACATGTCCCACTGGATGTTGACAGTCACAGAAGTCTGTAGGTTTGGCATTTCTCCCTTCCTCTTTCATTTATAGACATTACGTCATTCTCTCCCATGATAATGTACACTGTTTGTACCCAATGACGTCGTTAGCTGTGGAAGCCAGTGGGTGGAGAAACCTTGTGGGTGCATTGTTTACCCAGACAGCTTTCACTTCCTTTGTATATACTCTATGGTCTTTTGCTGACATATGGTCTTATGCTGACATAATGCTATGGAGTGTGTGCCTGGCAGTCCCCCCCTCCCATTATGAATGTCCACATTTTTGATACTCACTACAGGAATATTATAGGGCAATTGTCTTCATGTAATTGTATAACAGTATGCCACGACATGCCTGTGAGGTGAAGGTGACCATATGCATTTTTTGCAAGGTTTTTAAAAGAATTTTCATTGATCTTCACTGTTCAGTAAATGTAGTAGCCTAATTTGTTAGAGTTGTCCCTCCCTCCCCTCCTCCCTCCCTCCCTCCCTCCCTCCCTCCCTCCCTCCCCTCCCCTCCCTCCCTCACACAGATGCAACTAGTTGTCTACGGGAAGGACCCTCTCCCCACTCTGACCAGTTGGGTCGACACGTCCTTCTCCTCAGTCCCAAACCGCCACATCTCCCCACAGACCTTCGCGGCCACTCCCTTCCCACAGGAATACTCACAGAAAATGGTGTTCTACTATCCAGTCGCCGATACAAACTCCCTCTCACTCTACTGGCAGACCGCTCCCCTCGACCCTTACTATCGCAACGACGTCGTCGAATTCCTGTCCCGTTACCTCGGCTACGAGGGAGAGGGGAGCATTCTGCAGTACCTCAAGAGCGAGTCACTGGCCGTTTCTCTCTCGGCGGGGTTAGAGGTCAGCGCTGACTCCTTCTCGCTGTTTCTTGTCGGCATAGAGTTGACGGAGAAAGGTCTGGGGAGAGTGCCGGATATTGTGAAGACTGTCTTCCAGTTCATCAGGTATTGCTGTGCAAATTAATTAATAGCACTGAGTGCAAACCCTCGGCGAACGGCGCATGTGCAGTACAGCTAATCGATGTGCTGGGCTGTGCATATCAAACAAAAAACTACAAGTAGGACAACACTTTGAAAAAGGAACTGCCCTAGACTTAAACCCACGGCGCTCTGTTCTGTAGACGAGTGCTATATATACCACTGAGCTACCTGGGCAGCTCAGCAGGCTGGGCTCAAAGTCTGCGATAAAACACGAGGCAAAGGCAAACCCCTAACTCATGCTACAGAGACCTGATGCATGCTTTTCCAAGGGAGAAGGAAGGTAGTGTAGGTTATGAGGAAGAGGGAGAGGTGAAGGGAATGCAAGTTACAGAGAGAGTGAGGGGAAGAAAAGAAGGGGAAAGGAAGGGGGTGAAGTTTGGGCAGGAAACATGAGAGTGGATTGAGTTAATAGAGGGAATTACTATTGGGACTACTACCGTATGGTAATGTATGTTGAATGGAACCTTGCGCAGAAGCGATGCAGTGGGAGTAAACTTGCATTATTAACCCTCGGCACGCATGCACAGGGAGGGTTACAGTACTTGGTTTGTCTGTCAGTCAGTCTGTCTGTCGACACCTATTCTGGGACTACAGACCACGTGATGGCCCATGTATGGACTTATAACTGTCTTCCTCCCTCCCCCAGCCTCCTATCGAGCCGGTCGGAGTACTCAGATGAAGTCACTGTGGGATAGTCACGTGGCAGTGTCCCGGGTTGTCTTTGACCACAGTGAGCCCGAGCAGCCCAGCGACTACACCACGTCAGTCCATGCTTGTTTACTAGGCTGGGTTCACAATATTATGTTGCTTTGCCCCGCTGTGCCGCATTGCTGCGTTGCGATGATGGAATCTATTTCGATCTTCGCAGCACAGCGTGACAACGCAATGCAACATAATTGTGAACCTGGCCTTTGTGTGTGTGAGTGTGTGTGCCCAGTTGCTCCATTACTGTATTGTGGTAGCTTTCATTTTACGAGTTTATGTGCTAAGGCCAAGGGAACAGGGTTAGGGGTTAGAATAGTGAACGGCTGCGATTCAGGATTTTTAGCCATGCCATTTTTCAGTTATAATTTGAGGGGCAGTTAGCAAAACTGGGAAGACAAACAAGCGTAATCTATGTGTAGTTGTCTGAATTCTGTGTGTATACATTACGGTACGTCTTGTTTGTGTTTTACGTAGCTATCGTGTGTGCCTCGTGGCCACTAGTGACTCTCGCCAAAAATATGTGAATTGATTCTAGCATTATAATGATATAATACCTTACTACTCACGACATCGCAAACTTTAAAACCTTCCCCTTGACACGTACCAGTGTGTGTATACGTACGTACGTAGTTCCGAGACGTGTAGTCAAACTGTACGTTGGGAAGATTTCCCATGTAACCTACGTAACTAATATAAACCATGGAAGTTTTCATATCAAAAAACCACACCGGATATAACGCAATGTACGTACATATGTTGCACATCCATGGGTGCGGTAGGCTCCCAAGCATGTTCCACAGCGACTGTGTAGTTGTTGAGTAAACATTGTAGCATGTGTCAATCTCTGCTGTTTTTCCCCCACCTGTGTCTGCAGGCACATCTCACAGAGGATGAGATTGGTCAAAGAGGCGCCCGATTTCCTGGGGAACCCCCGTCGTTTCGCATTTAATTACTCCCTCGTTGAGTCGGTGCTAGACACTCTGACTCCGGAGAGACTCGTCCTGTTCCTCGGCACTCATCACCTCAACTTTTCTTCAAGTGGTCTCGGTCCTCCAGATGATAACCCACCCCCGGAACAAAACTCCTCCCCCATCAATTTTCCCTGGCCGGAACTGGACCAGAAGGAGCCAATATACTCCACTCCTTTCTCCAGTATCGACACCCCGCCTGAGTTGTTGGAGTACTGGGGTAGTTTGACTCCGGTCCCACAGAACTTGTCTCTACCGGGGAAGAACCATTTCATCCCGACTGACTTTGGCCTCCTCAAGCCACCTTCCAATCTCTCTGACACTCCTTCTAGGGTCTCTGTCGGTGAGCTTCTCTATTAAGGCCCTCATAGGTGCTACTGACGTCACCAACACATATGTCCTACAACAATACTAATACATTATACAATGGTCATTTAAGAGAGAATTATTAGGCCCTCATAGGTGCTACTGACGTCACCAACACATATGTCCTACAACAATACTAATACATTATACAATGGTCATTGAGAGAGAATTAGTAAGGCCCTCATAGGTGCTACTGACGTCACCAACACATATGTCCTACAACAATACTAATACATTATACAATGGTCATTTAAGAGAGAATTATTAAGGCCCTCATAGGTGCTACTGACGTCACCAACACATACATGTATGTCGTATACCAATACAATACAGAGGAACCTCCGATAAGGGATCCTCTGAGATAGGGACGACCTCTCTACAAACCCCATGCTATTACTTTAGTGTACTATTTGACCTCCGAGATAGGGACGGCCTCTCTACAAAGGACACTTGTTTCAACCCCATGCTAATACTTTAGTGTATTATTTGACCTCCGAGATAGGGATGGCCTCTCTACAAAGGACACTCGTTTCAACCCCATGCTAATACTTTAGTGTATTATTTGACCTCCGAGATAGGGACGGCCTCTCTACAAAGGACACTCGTTTCAACCCCATGCTAATACTTAGTGTATTATTTGACCTCCGAGATAGGGACGACCTCTCTACAAGGGACAAAGTCGTTGGCCCCATATAGTGTCCCTTGTTCTGAGGTTCCACTGTATTCTCAAAAGAGACGTGTCATTCTGTGTTCCAGATGCACAATACATAATTATGGCAATTATGGTAATTTATAGCTCAAGTACAGTCTGTAACTGAACTACTAACACAGTCCCCCTCCCTCTCTCCCTCCCTCCCTCCCTCCTCCAGCAAGCAAAGGGGTGTCGCTATGGTTCCTGCAAGACACCACATTCGAAACTCCTCACGTCAACATGTACTGCTCTATAACCGCTGCCAACCCAGACAGTGACTCTGTCAGATGGATTGGTGAGTCTGTAGGGAGGGGTCTTTACTATTATTATAGTGGAAGGAAAATCAAAACTGGGTGCTCAAAACGTTGATCCATTCTGCAGCGCCTGGTTGCATCTCCTCAAAAAATTGAAAGGGAATGAGAAAATATGTTGCAGACACTTTCATAATAGCATTCTTACACTTGGCCCTATTGTTTAGTTCTTACATTTATACTGCCACATTCCCATTAATGGATAAACGACTACTTTTTCAGCTTTACTTATTTTCAACTTCTTCATTTGTAATTTCCCCCCTCTCTCCCTCCCTGCCTCCCACCTCTCCTGCCTCCCTCCTTGCCCCATTCCCTCTCTCCGTTCATCCCTCTCCTCCCTCCCTCTCCCCCCTCCACCCTCCTTCCCTCCCCCCTCTCCCTCCAACCCCACCACCCCTCCAGAGCTGACAGTTCTCTATGCACAAATGGTGGTCGAGGTCCTTACCCCAGTCCTCTACCCTGCGGCGGAACTGACCTACTCCATGGGGCTCTCCGCCACACCCCAAGGACTCCAACTGACATTCTCCGGGTTCAGCGACCCCAACATCATGACGAGATACATTGGCAACACTGTCCTAAGTTAGTCTCCCATAGTTACCAATGTTTCTTGCGAATTACATGTTGTATACCGAAATCACCTAGAAAAAGGTACGAGCATTCGTGTATGTTTCTGGATACTGACATTCCTGTAGAGGGGAACTCATTTTTAAGGGGGTTAGGTGCTCAAAAATTCCCTTGCTCGGCACTCTTGGCTTGTACATAATGGAACAAATGCAACACATTTTCGAATGTTAGAGAGTCTATAGTGTGACCTTTGAGACATGCTTTAGAGCAAGATAGGGGAAGGAACAAAGGTTGGAGTGAGATATATAGGCAGGAAGAGAAAAGGTTTGAAACGAGATAGGATAAGAAAAAGGTTGGAGTGAGATTGACCCAAAGAAGAAAGGTTGAAACGAGATATTGGAGGATAGGATAGTGAGAGATGCAGTTTGGAGCGAGGTATATATAAGGAGGGGATAAGAATGAAAGCAGAGTGAAAAACGCCATGGTCAGATTGAAAGTGAAAGTTTGGAGCGAGATAGAGCGGGAAAAGAAAAGGTTGGAGCCTATGGGTTGTTGTTGCCACATATGAAAGCTGTCCATCCCTCCCTCCCCTCCCCTCCCTCTCTCTCTTTCTATTATCCAGAGATGAAGGATTATGATGCACTGGTAAAGGTGTTTGACATTGTTCGGGAGAAGAGGCGGGATTTCCTGGAGAACTACAAGTACAGCAACCTTCCTTACCGCTACATCTACAACTACATCCAACAGTAAGTCAGTTTAGTCTGAATCCTGTGTGCAGTGGGACCTCTGATTAGGGACCCTCCGAGATAGGGACAACCTCTCTACAAAGGACACTTGTTTCAACCCCATGCTAATACTTTAGTGTATTATTTGACCTCCGAGATAGGGACGACCTCTCTACAAAGGACACTTGTTTCAGCCCCATGCTAATACTTTAGTGTATTATTTGACATCCGAGATAGGGACGACCTCTCTACAAGGGATAATACCGAAAGCCCCATAGTGTCCCTTGTTCGGAGGTTCCACTGTAGCCACTTCCACACATGCTTTGCAAGCTTTCTGAATAGATACAGTGGAACCCCTCTAATCCAGACACCAATAAATCAGCATATTTCAGGGGCTAACCCCGAAAGACTGGTTTTTGGGGGAAAGATTATAAAGAGAGGTGTTCAGGGGTGTCCTTAGAGAGGGGTTCCACTGTATATTATGAAACCCGGTACATTGGCTTCATTCGTGGTGTGCACTATTCAGAGTGGTAATGGAGCGACCGTACTGGAAGCTGGAGGAGGAGCTGGCTGTAGTGAATGATGTCAATATTACAGCCGATGATGTCATACAGCACGCGGTGAAGCTATTCACAGATGCCTCCTTCCTGTGTTTTGCACACGGGAACATTAATCAGGAGTTGGTAAGTGTATGTTAATTCACGTGCTTACAACTTAAAATGGTGAGCGATAAATATTATGCTGCGAGGAAAGCCTCTGCCTTTTGGCACTGTATACTATACAGTGGAACGTCCAATAAGGGACCCTCCGAGATAGGGATGATCTCTCTACAAAACCACTTGCTTCAACCCTATGCTAATACTACTGTGTGTACCACTTGACCTCCAAGATAGGGACCGCCTCTCTACAAGGGACAAAATAATTGACCCCATAGTGTCCCTTGTTCGGAGGTTCCACTGTATACAAGGAGATACTCCAATCATTTTGCCAATGTACACGTATACATATATGTCCACCATACTTCATATAGTGGGAAACTTTGTGGGAAATCATTCGGGTCTTACATGAATAAGATGCCATCCATCCTCTATGTATCCCCCATTCAGGCTAGAGAGTACACGATGTTAGTGAGCGACACTCTCACTCCATCTCCCTCGGCCTCACTGCTGCCTCCTAGCGGCGGTTACCAGAGACAGAGGGTGACCCTCGCGGACCCGGGCAGCTACAGCGTGACCCTACCCACCCTCAACCCCAGTGACAAGAACTCTGCCGTCAATGTCGTCTTCCAGGTACAGAGAGCTAAGTACGGTAGTATATACTTGTTGGCAAGCGAAGCGAGCCTACCTAGTCGTCTGAATGCGGGATACTTCTCTGTATATGTGATGGGCACTGGACACTGCTACGTGATTCTTAATACGAGCGAAAAATTTAACGTCGTTCTGAATAATTACAGTGAAAAATTGAACTGCCCGTTTTTCACTGTTGGGTGGTGAGGTGTTGGAGCAAGGAATGATACGAAGAACGTACATGATATAGTGCTGGTGATGTGTTGCTGTGAGTTGTGTCGTGATGATGTTGCAGGTTGGTCCTCCGTGCTCTGCGCCTGGCTCATCTGCAGGGTCTCCCTGTGAGGAGCAGTACGTCTCTGCCACCGCACACCTAGGACTCATCGATCACATCATTGGAGTGAGTCCTTCTCTGTAGCCTCTCCTTCACTGGCTGTATGTTTTTGATTTTAGTTTATCGTTTATCTATATAATATCAAAGGGTTGGGGTGAGATTACTATTTGTGATGGAAAAAATGGACAGCTCTCATCTTTTCATCACACACTATTATTACCTAGCTCCATATCTTCGAATTCTGGGTAACATTCTAAGTTTAATATTGCCCTACCTAGTGCAGTCCATAGCTTTTTTGAACTGGCTCGTGTTGCTTGCATGCGATTTGCACACGAGTGAAGCAAGTCTGTCATTCATCTCTCTCCTCCTCGCCCACCCACACCCACAGGACCAGTGTTTCTACCAGCTGCGCACAGTGGAGCAACTCGGCTACGTCGTGTTCTGCTTCCAGACCGCCAACTCTGGCATCACCTCCTTCCAGGCAGTGGTCCAGAGCCAAGAGTACAATGCCTCCTACGTCCTCGGTGAAATCGACAAGTTCCTCGAGGATTTCGAAGTCTCGACGATAGCCAACTTCACGGATGAGACACTCGCCGCTAGCAAGGAGCTGTACGCTAGAACTCTGAGGAAAAAGTCGCAGACTCTGAGGGACGAGAGCGACAGGCTGTGGGGCGAGATTTTGAGCGGTCGGGAGCAGTTTGATTACAACAGTCAACTGCTCGGGGCGCTGGATTCAATCACACCAGAGTCACTGAGGAAGTTCTACAGACACCACATGACGGACCCGGCACAGTACAAGAAGCTAGTGGTGGGGGTATATGGAGCTGATAGCCCGGTGGATCTCTCCCAAGACTCTTCCTACTGCATAGACTGGGAAACAACAGACCACAGTGTCCTAGAATATAACGCAAATAACAGCAACTGCTCGCAGTCGTTGACGTTGTGATACATGTTCTTTATTATTATTTGTCGTCTTATTTCTTTTCCGTTCTTGTACGTACAATGACGCAGACAATCATGAAATTTCTCTTCTTTATTTAAAAAAACAACAGAAGGAAGAACTTAGGAACAGCTATACATAATACAAAGAGTGGATGTGTGGGAATTGAAAAGGACTGCATGTGTTGGCCTTTGACAAGTGTTGGGGATTCACGATCATCGATTGCTGGCTGCGGTGCATCAAAAGAGGAAGCAGTATATACACAGTGTTCAAACCCGGAGTATCTCCAGCTTGTCTCTGTAGCAGATGGCTATCCAGTCAGGTTGGGAGGAAGACCACTGGATCTAAGGTGAGGATACACAGGCCGAGGGTACATAATTATGGCAGTTTATGCTCCACAGTGGAACCTCCGATAGGGGACCCTCTGAGATAGGGACGACCTCTCTACAAAGGACACTTGTTTCAACCCCATGCTAATACTTTAGTGTATTGAGGGACCCTCCGAGATAGGGACGACCTCTCTACAAAGGACACTTGTTTCAACCCCATGCTAATACTTTAGTGTATTATTTGACCTCCGGATAGGGACGACCTCTACAAAGGACACTTGTTTCAACCCCATGCTAATACTTTAGTGTATTATTTGACCTCGGGATAGGGATGACCTCCACAAGCGACAAAATCGTTGTTCGGAGGTTCCACTATAGTGGAAAATGTTAGAGGGAGAAATTCACAGAGAAGGCTGTCAGGGATTGCTCAAGGACCGCCAAATCAGGTGGGTAACCGTGAGATAAAAAACTAGTGTGGCGCAAACATAACTATTACACATACAGTATATACCTGGTTGATCTCTCCCTCAGCTGCATAGGCCAGTATAGGGACTTCAATAGGTTTAGGCATTGGCTGAATGTCCCAGATCAGTGCCTGATGATCATCTCCTGAGAACACACACACACACAGTAGACAGTGGACACTTTCTAGGACACCACACCACAAGCACCTTACAACTAAATCACCCCTGAAAGGAGACCTCACTAATTTGGGCACGTTCTTTGGTCCCATTGGTGTCCGGATTAGAGGGGTTCCACTGTATACCACAAAGTTTCACCTATTTCTAAGACCAGCCTGTATATTTACTTTTATATTGACTTTTTAAAGCATACAGAGCATGACGGCAGGGTTTTTAGACATTAACCCCATCTCTCCCTCCCTCCCTCCCTCAAATCAGCAAAAGACAAAACCCCTGCTAGACTTAGCTCTACCCAGAGCTGATCCCCTCCACCCCAAACTTCCTGGACATCGCTTTAAAATCCCACCAGACCTCAACTTCAGAGGTCTGGTACTTGTTCTACGGCCTTCTGTACAGTGCATGGGATGAGTGCTCAGCTTTGCGGCCTTCGGTGGTGGCCACTTTATTGATACTTGACACTCCATTTTGTGGCCTTTGGCATTGAGGAGTGAGGGCCCATGCTATGCCATTGACTGGGGCCCTGTGGTTTACTCACCAGCGGTGCAGATGTGGCAGGAGGAGTGAGGGGCCCATGCTATACCATTGACTGGGGCCCTGTGGTTTACTCACCAGCGGTGCAGATGTGGCAGGAGGAGTGAGGGGCCCATGCTATACCATTGACTGGGGCCCTGTGGTTTACTCACCAGCGGTGCAGATGTGGCAGGAGGAGTGAGGGGCCCATGCTATACCATTGACTGGGGCCCTGTGGTTACACAGTCTGGAGACCGGGACACTTGGAACCCTGACATCCAGAATAATGACCTGGAGGAGTGGAATGGAGCGAGAGTTAAGAGAGAGAAGAAACGGCGATGTAGTATACAGTGGGAAGTCTACCTATGAACTAACCCTCGGCGCGCATGCGCAGCGAGGGTTTACAGTCTGTCTGTCTGTTACCACGTTTTATGCCACCACGCGCAAGAAATCGGCCAAACAGCGATAGTAACGGGTTCAGCGCTACACTGACTGGATTAAAAAAAATACGATTTTCATAAAACCACGGCGTTCTAAAGTTATGGCGTGAAAACCAACTGAACAAGCCAATAGGTTTACCTCGACCGGGTCCGCTTGCTCTGTGTATCTTGAAGGCACAAGAAGTCACAACGAAGGGCGTGCATCGACTCCCGCATGCTATCTACTGCTGTAGCTAGCCCGTGTCAGACTCTCCGCGAGCTACTTATTAACTAGCGAGAGACCGACGAGTAAACGTTACAAATAGCCCAGCCCGGCCCCCATCAATTAGCGGTACCGCGCATGCACAGTTCGCCGAGGGTTTGCACTGCATGCTGTGTGGTATATACATCTAGATCTGTAGCAGGGTGGCTGACAACATAGGTTCGAAGAGGGGGATGCACACTTTCCTCTCAACTGTATAGTTCTCTAAACCGCTCTATATATCTCTGCTGAATGAGAGCAGCGTAAGGCTAGGCAGGCACGGCCATACCTTATAATTACGCATGCGCAATCGTGTGTGGCCGGGCAACCGCAAAAGGTGGGGCTGCTCGCATTCATGAATAAAGTGACCGATTCCGCGGTGTGGCAGGACGCAGATGTACCCGGCGCGCGGTAGTAAACTAGCGGGCAAAAAATGACTGGTGGACGGCGGAGGCTTAGCTCGGAACGGTGGGGGACCGTGTCGCTGACGATGCTACTAGCTGTCGGTGTTTGCCCGCTCCTCTGCAAAGCAACTGATGATTTTTCCACGTGGTGCGGCAGCGATACGAGTGAGCAGCCAGTAGTAGCTTTTTGCAGACACGGTCCTTAGCTAGCTAGCTATGTGCAGAAGGGTAAATTTTGTACCTACCTGTTTGACCGTAGGAACAGGGGGAACAAAATTCAACATTTCTGTCGATGTCCAATGCAACAACTCATTCATTAATCTCACAATGAATTTCCTGGGCGAAGAATTGTCTTTAACTCGTCAGGAATACTATTGGCTGGAGTATGAGTGCTTCTTACCCAACAATAATGCTACTGTCGTGGAGGCAAAGATACCCAATCCAGAAGGTTACGTTGTGGTGCTGTCCAACTACGCACAGCCTGTCGAAGATGCTCCCCTGCCGGATGGAACAGTGTGCACCGTCAGAGGGTGCTTCTACGAAGAGGGGTATAGTGTTTACCGTTTCATCGTCCCAAGAAACTGCACTGTTGGTGAGTTTGAGGTATGCTATGAGGAGTTGCCCAGTTACCAACATGATTGCAAACACTATAGCAATAGGTAATAGCTAGGCATATTCCTCATGCATTGCACCAATGTAGCTACTGTGTTGCTCAGTAATTGTGAATGCATTTACATGGACAAAAGGCATTTATTTGACCAGTGGAACCCTTCTAATCCAGACACACAATGGGACAAAACAAGTTAGTGAGACGTCCTTTTTGAGGGGTTGAATTGCATGCAATTATAACTATCCTAGAAAGAGAAAAGAGAAAGAAAGTAAAGGTGTCCTCATTTCAACTTTAGTATACACCTAAATCCAGGCATACAACGTTGCTACACATTAACATTTTGAAAAGGCTTGTTCCCATACTCTCACACTCGACCATGCCTTACATAAGCTATAAATGTTGGCAATGATCTCTTGATATGTTACAGATACTGATGAGTGTGCTGAAGAGACACACGACTGTGGGGAAAATGCTCTCTGCAACAACACAGTCGGTGGCTATGTGTGTGTTTGTGAAGACGGCTACTCTCCTTTGGACGACAGAAACGTTAACTGCACGAGTGAGTAATAATTATTATAGAGAGAGAGAGACATGAGCTAGTGATGCAAGTGTTCGTGCACAAAATAGCTACATGGCCAAGTCGTGAGGTTTTTATGAGACTGTTGACACCCACACACTAGTAGTTATCATAGAGTGTGATGTCAAAAAAGGGAATGCTGCACAGGTTCGAGTTCCAGGAATCCTAGTGTGAGTGTGTATAAGGTGCCATTATGAGTCACTTATACTCTTTCTTTCTTTTAGTCACCAATAGTTGGCAATATTATTCTATAATGGCAGGGGTCAATGTGCGTGTAGCTGCACTACGCCCGGGACAAAATAAGACGTCATTCCTCACCTAGCAACCGCCAAGCTTTTGCGTAATTTAATAGCAATGTGATGTGGTTGGTGGTAGTTGTGGAGCAGTGCATTTCTTGGGTGTATTGAGTTACACCGTTTGTTGATCAGGCATGCACTCTTGCACTCTAACTTCCTTATGGCAACCTCCAAATTTGAAGCACACTTAGATGTGGATTGGACTATATAAGTGACTTATGAGTGCTAATGCTGTAATCCCAATGCCAACCTTGGATCACTGTCCGTTTGAATTGCCATTCATAATTATGTTCCTCAGGGCTTGCACCTACATCAATAACTCTTCCTGAAACTGCTTCAATTACTCTTCCGGAATTTGCTACAATAAATGCTCTGGACACTGCTTCAGTATCTATTTCAATGGATGTTATGGGGACCCCGCGACCAGCACGGGACGGAAGAGAGCCAGGTCTAACAGTGGGGCTGACCCTAGCGTTAATTCTGACGCTATTGCTATTGCTAGCAGTACTGGTGACTGTCTTATTGTCCTACATTGCACGGAGGAGACACGAGAGACAAAGGTATGTTGGACTTGTTGTTTATTTACTCCTAGCTGCTTAGATGCCAGTAAGTCAGCATGTCCACACTTGTACAGGTAGAAAGGCAAGGCAGGCAAACATCACTACACCCAGGACAACTCTTTCTTTTCAAAGAAAAGAAGAAGAGCTGCCCTGGGTGGGATGTATATTAGCGTTAATATATTAACCCTAATACAAGGGTTGGTATAATAATATATTATACCTCCATAAGGGAGTACGGGAGTACGTAGGTTGTAAGATGATCCGAATGCTGACTCACATACTAGACGGGCTTCTTGTTGCAAGATCCCCCCACGAAGCAAATAGCATGAGGATACCCCAATACCTTGCTATGTAAGCATGTAGGGTCCGTTCACTAATGGCGGCATCACCTAATCCTAATTTCTGAAGCTGTCTAAATAACGGAATCAGGCTGAAAACTATCTGTGGCCTTGTTCCGCCTATTATAAACAAGTGGGACTATAAGTGCCTTCTCGACACAAGTGTTCGTAACTCTCAAAAGGTCCCACTGCCAAGTTTTTCAAGTGGTAACCCATCTACACAATATGCTTACTTATCCTTCGGTTTTGCTGTAGTGCCATGCATTTCGTGAAATGAGTGCCGACTATAGTTGTATAGTGTATTGTTGAGGCGGAATTTTTGTATTACAGATTTCCTATACTACACAGTATTACGTATGTGCAGAGCCCATAACTGAGCCATAGCAGAGTCCGTGGTAGGTATAATAGGTTGAGTAAAAATCCTGTGTCATCACAATTCCAGGCGTCTTGTGTGATGATGCACCATAGCTTTGGTGAAAGGAACTTATTCGTGGGTCAGGAAAGAACCAAGAATCCCATAAGCCCTACTAAATGCCTGGTTCTCCTTTTTTATATGCCCCAAAACTACATAGACACAGTACAGGCCTCGGCAGCACCAGCGGCAGAGGGGAAGGAAGAGGAGGAGGTGCTGTATACGTGGACGGTAAGCTCAGCACTACTCTTTTTGTCACTGAACTGCAACTCGACACCGACTCGCCTCATAACTCCTCACCGACTGTTCACCTGACCACCAATAATATTGCAGATAGCACACGTACAAGGACATCAGGGCAGCAGGATACACTGCAATATAACGTATCTCCCTACACCCCACATCTAAGCGACGCACCCACTCTGTTGTCGCAAAGTCGCCACAACCCTCCTGATCCAGTTCCTATTGAGAAGAGCGCCACCCTGGTGCAACCTACTCGGCCATTGGGTGACTATGTAAACCTTGAAAACAACCCTCGTACTCCCAAATCGTCTCCTCCAAACAGCAACATTACTCTTCCAGAGGATTCTAAGACAGTTTCCACAGACGCTGTTGGTATCTCAGACACAGTTGAGAGGGAGTGCGTGACTGTGAGTGACAGTCAGCCGGGCAGCCGTACTTCATCTCCAGGGATGAGGTCCGGTTCAGACGACCTCTTCAGTGACGAAAACACGAACGAGAGAGGGTTTGCCAATATTTTATTCGGGCTGGAAACTACAACTGTTTCTTAAGATTATGTATAGTCCATCTGGTCTATTTCTCATAGGAGCACTGTCACGTCATTGTGTATCATCTGTCATCAAACAAACTTCGATCATTAAGAGATGTGTCATTCCAAAAGTCAGTTTCTAAATAAATTTTAACCGCCATCTCTGCAACTCGATGCATGCATTAACATCACGTAGTGCAGTTCAAAAGCAGTATATATGAAAAGCACTAAAGTGCAAACCCTCGGCGAAGTAGCTCGCAGAGAGTCTGACACGGGCTAGCTACAGTAGTAGATAGCACGCGAGAGTCGATACACGCCATTCGTTGTGACTTCTTGTGCCTTCAAGATAGACAGAGCAAGCGGACCCGGTAGAGGTAAGCCTGTGCTAAATATAAGCGCATGCAATAAAATGGCGACTACCGGCATTAGCCATACAATGCTGGAAGCACTCTATTTCAGAGAAAACCCCACAAATTTTCTGACCTTCATTGCCCGTTGAGTAGATCGTATCCTCAAAAGTGGTCAGTCGGCACTTGGATGTGGCGGTCCGGAGCTTTGATGTTGCTTTCATCTACCCTTTCAGTACTCTAAAAAAACGTGCCACAGCGCGTGCACGGGATGAAAGGGGTGTGTCGATTTGGGCAGAATGACGCATGCATGCAGGAGAGTTGCTGGAAAACGCTGATCGGGCGCAGAAGCCGAATTCGTGACTGAAAGAGATATACTGCTATCTGACTACTATAATAGCCCCCACAGTTGCAATTCCATGCCTATCCAATGGTGGCTAAGTTGATGAATTTCCTGGAAAACATTGTGTGCGTTTTTCCTAGCCCAAACTCTTGCCATGGTAACTGCTCTGGAGTATCCTCTTACATTCAGGTCAGACTATTGATGACCAGTTCATGGAAGCTTTAGATTGTGGAGAATTGACATCAGACTGTTACGACATCTGGTATTATTATTATACTTATATGCCATGAAAACAAAAAAGCCAATATGCATATTAGCACTGGGCTTGCCGCGACCTGATCTGCTCCGGCTCTGTGTACCTTGGTGGCTCAGGAAGTCACAACGAATGGCATGTATCAACTCCCGCATGCTATCTACTACTGTAACTAGCCCGTGTCAGACTCTCTGCCAGCTACTAGCGGGAGACCACGAGTAAACACATACAAATAGCCCAGCCCATCAATTAGCAGTATCGCGCATGCGCAGTTCGCCAAGGGTTTGCACTTTAGTGCTTTTCATTAACCCTCGGCGTGCATGCGCAGCGAGGGTTACAGTACTTGGTTGGTAAGCGTGTCTGTCCGTCAGTCCGTCCGTTTGTCCGTCTGTTACCACGTTTTCTGCCACCATGCGCAAGAAATCGGCCAAAGAGCGATAGTAACATGTTCAGTGATACACTGGCTTGATTATAAAAAAGGTGATTTTCATAAAGCATTTCCATTAGTAGTGGTAATGCATGATCTGCAGGCATCCCTACACATTCAATTCAATCAATACATACCTCAGAAGACTCCATGGCAAAGGTGGCCAGGTAGTTAGGGTCCTGTTTGTTCCACGACAGTCTCATGAGTGGCAGTTGTTTGTGGTCCTCATACAGTATGGTGGAGTGCTCCAGGTTTCTGAGGGAAAGACACTCCACAGTACAGTGGACACTCGGATGAATAGTGATAAATGACACTTCATGTAAAAAACACTTGCTTCGATCTGCTGATACTAGCTAAACCTCCAAATTAAGGATACTTCTCTGTAATCCAGTGGTAATAGCAATTTAGCCTCTCTGAACATAGGCCACCTCTGTATTAAGGACATTCCAGGGTCCCAGTATGTTGTGTATGAGACAGTGGAATGAAGAAAAGGGTTTTGAATTACGCCTTTCTGTACTTTCAATCATGAATGTATGTCTATAGAGCAGTAATGGAGATAATAGGCTGGTGTATTAGCTCTGAAATAGGAAGAAAAGTCTATGTGTGAGTGGGTCTAAAAGCTTTATTAGAAACTACTGTATAGGACTCCCTATCATAGCCCCATACGGCCATACATCTATGATGCTAGGTACCATGCCTATATATCCCTATATACTAAGTACTACCGTACTTAGTGATATAGCGTGTTAGATGTATGGGAATAATATGATAGGAAACGGGAAACTTTTTGTCGCACATGTAAAATGGACGTGGATCGTCTCACCTGAGATCAAAGAGTCTGACTGAACCATCAGCTCCAACAGAGGCAAAGACGTCTCTCCCTCCCCCCAACTTTGTGAATGCAATATCGTGAACCTGCCAGGGCAGGACAGCATTACTAATGCACTACAAAAATAGGGAACACTTTCAATGGAGTAAAACTTCTGAATAAGAGACATCTTGGGGACATTGAAAGTGTCCTCAATTCAGGAGTGGGCCTTAATTAGCATGGGGCAGACCCAAGTGTACTGTACAGAGGTGTCCTTTATTCGGCAGTTTCACTATAACCATATTGAGTGAGTGGAGGAAAAGGAGAGGGAGGAGGTGTAGAAGGAGGTGAGAATAAAAAGAGAGGCGCAGTAGGAGGGAAGAGAGAAGAGGGAGGAAGGGGAGAAACAAGGGGAGGGTATCGAATACCTCTTTGTCGTGAGCTATGAGCTGAGTCCGTACACTGCCTGTCACTTTACCCAACACTTGACCTGTCTGAGGGAGGGAGAAGAACAAAGGAGATGGGGATAGAGAAAGAGGAGGAAGGGAGGGAGGAGAGAGGGAGGGAGGGAGGGAGGGAAGGAGGGAGAGAGGGAGGGAGGGAGGGAGGGAGGAGAGAGGGAGGGAGGGAGGGAGGAGGGGAAAGAAACGAGACAAAGAAGGGAGGAAGAATGGAGAGAGAAAGAAGAAAACGAGAACACAGGGGAGGGAGAAAGAGAACGGAGGGAGAAGGGGAGGAGGAAGGGAGAGAGACAGAGAAGGGGAGAAGGAAGGGAGAGAGACAGAGAAGGGGCAATCAATAAGAGGTAAGAGGAGTGATAGAAGAAACATGGCAAAGTGCAGAAAGTACACGAAGCTGTAAGTACATACCTCCAATCCCCATATGGTGCAGGTGGTATCAATGCTGGATGTTCCCACAATGTTTGGGTCCGTCTCGTTCCAGTCGAATGAGGTGAGAGGAGCACAAAACTCAGAGTTTCGATTCTAAACACACACACACACACATGATAACCTACCATTCACAGTACAATTTTTATTCTACTAGTGAATTTTTAAACACCAATTCTCCAGTAAAGACAGAAATACACATTGTACATGTATATGGGAAATTGTAACTACGAGGGAGAGACCTTCCGTGAATTTCGCAGTCTGTCCACAAACGTTTTGTAGGCAGGAATGCTCATGTATGTACTGCAGGACCAGTACTAGTGCTAAAGTTCCTTCTGCGAAATTACCCAACTTGCCAAAATGCAACGGTTTGTCCATTGCTCTGGGTGTGCGGTCGATGACCAGAGTACTATCTATGGCTGCCACCTGAGTAATTTCTACCTCAAAAGTTTCCGCTATATGGTAATAGACGGGTGAGACAATTTGATATGACCAACCAGGTTATGATCTAGAAAGTCTATAATACTGACGGTTGGCACTACTCACGTTGTTGAGCATGCACTCCGGGTGAACTTGTCCGTTGGAGTCAACTCTCCACAGTCTGAGGTAGTCTCCGGACGTGGCCAGGAGGTCGGGGTAGTGGGTGGCTGGATCTGGGATCCATATCACCTTCGTGGTGGGGTATGGGTGGTCGAACGTGGCCCTGTGCATCAGCTCCCCACGGTCTTCGTCCAGCTGTACTATCTGGACCTGTCCCGAAGACTGAGTGTATTATAATTTCTTAGGGAAAGCGGCTTACTTTGTTGGTGTAGTCCTCTATGAAGCTGCCTATAGCCAGCCTCCATCTTTTGTCCATTCGCATGCTCCAATTCAACGCGAACACCGTCCATGGAGCCACGTACTTGTAGATCTCTTTCTTCTTCCCTTCTCGCGGCGGAGACGCCATTTTGTTTTTCGATATTTCGTCACGGATAAAAAGAAAAGGTCAGAGGTTGAATCATAACTACGCATGCGCGCATGTGTGTGGAGAGATGAGCGAAACTACGGGTCGAACTCTCTTTGCGTTTGGTGCCGCATCAGCCGGAGCTCTGGCCCTCTGGTGGCTGTGGCAGAGTAGATCAGAGACTCCGCTCGACCTTTCGGCGTTCCAGCGACCAGTTGCAAGGGTTTCCAAGCTGTGGCTCTATCCCGTGAAATCTTGCAAAGGGGTGGAACTTACCAGCGCCCAGGTCGGAGTAAGAGGGCCTCAAGTATGACAGGTAGGTAGCTACACATATTTAACCAGTGCATGCCAAAACCCAGGATTTTACCATTTGCTACGCCGGCCTGTAAGTACAATACAAACAGCTTACACAAGCAGCTTTGGTATATTCATATTGGTGACAATGGTATATGGTATATATAATAGTCACGATGTAACTGTCAGTGTCAACTGGCCTTATAGGTCCATATGTATATGCATAGGAGTCATGCTCCCAAATACCTGGTTTTGGTGTATACGTACACTATGCAGGAGCTGGGTGATAGTGGACAAGAATGGCTGTTTCATGACGCAACGACAGCACCCCAAGATGGCTCTAATCTGTCCCCGAGTGGAGGCGAGGCGGACCCCAGGAGGGGAAGAGGAGGTCACACTGCACCTGAGTGCCCCAGAGATGCCCGACCTGACCCTCAAGACCCCTCCTCCCAGTGCTCCTACTGAGCAGATTCGGTAAGGCTGTGTGTGTGTGTTTTTTGCTATGGGTGTTTATGGGGTACTGCGCTGTACATACAGTGTGGCCTGAAAAAGTCCAAGTTGAAGTGTTTTTCATTACTGTCTTCTGTGTGCAATTACACACCATCTATTGTCACGGCCTCAGTGATCCAGTCTCTCACAGTGTTCATAATACTAGTAGGCGAGGTGGGCCTATCAATCAGGAATGCTGCAGAAAGAAACCCCCAAAATTACTGTTGATGACTTATGCTAGGTTCACAATACGTCGCATTGCCCCGTTGCGCCGTGCCGCACTGCCGCGCCGCGAGGATAGAATCCATTTCTATCTTCACGGCAGGACGCGGCGGGGCAATGCGACATATTGCTTTAGTCTTTTGTGTAATTTGCCACAGCTGCTTCTGTCTCTGCTGAATGGGTAGCTGTACACTGGGAAAGGATGGTAGCACTAATTGTTCTCCCTGCAGTGTGTGGAGAACATTTGGTGAGGCTGTGGACATGGGTAGGGAGGTGGCCCTGTGGCTGGAGGAGTACCTGGGGGAAGAGGGGTTCAGGCTGTTCTACATGTCCCCTCACCACAAGCCAAGAGAGCTACTGGCTGACGGCGAGTGGAGAGATCTGTGCAGCGAGGGAGAAGTGGTAAAACATTACTGTACTTAATCCTCGACACTTAGTCACGAGTTTTGCTTACTTTGTTTTCGTGTGTGTATTTTATTTGTTTGTCTGCATTTTCTGCAAAAACGTGCGTCCTGCTGCGAAGATAGAAACGGATTCTTTCCTCGCGACGCAGCAACGTCTTACCCTGGGATATTGTGTTAAAGGGAATTTGACTGGAAAATTATATTAAAAAACGGAAACACATTATTGCATTATTCCATTATGTATAATTATTCCCCGTTAAAATTTTTATCCTGATTGTATGCATGAGGCTACATCTGGATTTGTGAATCTTGGTATTGAACTTTTCTTCAACAAAGAGGGTATTCACCTTGCAGCATATTCTAGCCTACGAAATTTACATAGTTATGAGCATACGTTGTAGTATAATATATGCAGCTTTTGGGCATTATTATGCCACGTCTACAAGGTTTGGTCTTTTTCTAACATCAATAATATGTGCATAGTCACTTACAACTCATCACTTTGTTTCCCATTCCAGTCAGGATTTTCTGACCTGTCTCCGGTCCTCATGATATCAGAGGCATCACTGAAGAGGCTCAACAGCCACCTGGACACCCACCTTCCCATGCAGAGGTTCCGACCCAATATTGTCATCTCAAACTGCCAGCCACACCAAGAGGTCTGTGTTACGTCCGTGGTAACTCACAATATTGGGAACCCAATCACAACAAAGCAACTACACCAAGGACAACTCCTTTTTCAAGGAAAAAAGAAGAGCCACCTTGGGCAAAAAGAGTTGTCCTTGGAGCACTTGCACTCTTACCTTCTGAGCTGTGTACCAGGGCAGCTCAGCTGGCAGGAGCTCAAATATATACTAGGAATGCGCACGTGCATATTTTGCCTCGCGCCTGCCAGCCAATGTGTAAACAGTCCGACTGAGGCCACTCATGCGCGCGCTCTACTGACTGCGCGCGAAGCCAGACTTCCTACGAATCTGCGCACACGGCGGAAGCTACGAATGACGGAAGTTGACATTCCTAAGCGTGACTAATTGACATTCTTCAGCGTGACCGACACGTACGTACGCATATCGCGAGGGTACAACCCGGAGTAGTTGCCTCACGCTAATGCGCTCGGCAACAACACAATACAGCACATGTACATCCCATATGTTGCTATGGAAGTGTATGGCCATTGTGCAAGTATTATTGTTATCTTCAGGATGAGTGGAAGGAGCTAAGAATTGGTGATACACTCCTCAGGAACATAAAACCTTGCCATAGGTATATAGATACAACAAAACACAGTGATAATATTATTTTACATGATGATGATGATGTAGGTGCAAGGTGACTACTGTGAACCATGAAAAGGGAGAGTTTGCAGGACAAGAGCCTCTGGAGACACTGAGAAAGTCAGATTTCGCTGTTTTCTGTTGAAATTACTAAGCTTTAGATTTTGTTTCTCTACCAGGTATCGACTGTATGAGATGGTTCACCAGAAGGTCGACAAACGGTTTGGTATAAATCCGCTGTTTGGAACAAATTTTGGAGTTTTGAAGACTGGAAATCTTGCCGTGGGAGACACTGTCTCTATCGTCTGATTAACCCTTAGCCAGCCACGGGCATATATATATGCCCAGAGGAGATAGAGGAGATTTGATACCCATGGCGTCCAAAGGGATAATTATTAATGAACATTGAACATTCATTACTGAACGGCCACACATACCGTAACGTTTTACTTTAACCGACAGCCAGCAGGCAAGGTCAAATTTACCTGCTAACGGAGTCCATAAGTTTCATCTCCATGTGTGCTATCGTTAGAATGTTTGAGGAGCGAAAAAAATACCTGAAGCTATTTGAAACAATATGTGGTACAGCTGGCAGGAGAACAGCCAAGGAGCGGGAAACATGCCTTTCTCGCCACAAGGGAGCAGCAACTATCACGAGACAGAGCTCGCAGGAGGCAGCGTCTTGCTTACACGCAAGGAGTGGAAAACACGCCTTTCTTGCAACTGTGCAGGCATGGCGTGCAGCCAAAACATCACACGCAGCGAAGGCACCACGCTATAATGCTCCCTGCACAATGCTTACCAACGGCTGTTATGTCGCTCCTGCTCGCCAACAATAATTGCTTAGCATTCATAGTTTAGTACATAAAGAAACAGGCTTAGACTAGACAATGGAAACAGTAAACCACGATTGATGTAATAACCCAGAATGGGCACTGGGATGAGGTTGTGCTTCTGCCCATACGCACTTTGGTGACACTGATGGAAGGGTATATATGCATAGTCGATTTTGGGATGTTGCATTGAGCCGGGGGGGGGGGACAGATGGCACATAGAGTCAGTCCTGATAACGGTGAGCACGACAGAGACACCGTACTTAGTGCTGACAGTCAATATGGACGTGAAACGCTGGCTCAACACAAACCGAAAAGATTCTGATGAGGAGTTTACACTCACCAAGGTGTAAACCGAAAGACTTTATATTCCGAATAAACTGTCATTGACTAGACTGATAGCAATATGTAGATTATCCCCAGGGATATTTGCTCTGCATTCATCAGAGACTGTCCTGCACAAGCGCCACTCACTCCAGTGGTTTTCATCACGACAGGGAAGCATCTGGTTAGTCCATATGGCTAGTCTATAAGATGAGGTCACTCAGGCTGCAGCTATCCACAGTTGCACTAGAACTCCACCCTTGAAAATCTGAACATGAACCGCGACTTGTGTGTCGCGTGCTCTCACAGCTGTTGCTTAATGATAGTGTCAAAGTCTTATATATTCTTTGACCCGCTTGGGCATTGACATACAACGAAACCGAAAACAGAAAAGCACAAAAGCATCTAACATGACTACGGAATGAACTGTCCAGGTGACCAGGGAGTTCAGCAGTTACCTTCACTTTTAGTGTGCTCCGCCACAGAATGCTCGGGTATATATATCTTGGTCGGGAACATTAATGTCACATAGTGGACTGATTTCGTTGCATGTCATGGGTAGGTTATCACTCGTTTTATGGTAAGCCTTTACAACGTGCAGGCCATGGTCCAGAGTGTGGTCCCAGAGCTTTCTCCAGCCGATGTCTTGAGAAATCTTATGGAGATGTTGGTACTGTGCCACTTCAGCGAGCAGAAAGGCCTGGTCTTTCATGAGAATGTGCTTCTCTGCTTCACTAGAGACACAGTCCCCATCTTGAAGCTCGTATATATATATATACATGCGCATGCGCATGCGCATTCTCCAAGACGGCGCGAAGAAGAGGAGGTAAGCCCACTGTTATTAACCCTCGGCGCGCATGCGCAGCGAGGGTTACAGTACTTGGTTTGTCCGTCTGTCTGTCTGTCTGTCTGTATGTCCGTCTGTTACCACGTCTTCTGCCACCACGCGCAACAAACAGGTAAAATAGCGACACCAACGGGTTCAGCGCTACACAGGCTTGATTTTAAAAATGGCGATTTTCGTAAAAGTGCCGCGTTCAGAAGTTATGGCGTGAAAACCAAGTGAACAAGCCAATATGCTAATTAGCACTAGCTTACCTCGACCTGATCCGCTTGCTCTGTGTACCTCGGAGGCACAAGAAGCCACAACGAAGGGCGTGTATCGACTCCCGCATGCTATCTACTACTACTGTAGCTATCCCGTGTCACACTCTCCGCGAGCTACTAGCGGGAGATCACGAGTAAATAGGCCCAGCCCATCAATTAGCGGTACCGCGCATGTCCAGTTCGCCGAGGGTTTGCACTTCAGTGCTTTTTCATTATAATCCGTGAGAAATACTACTATAATACGTGCGCACTTCACAACGGCGTTTTGCAGGATGGTTGTGTTCCTGCTTGGCAAAACCTGTTAAACCAAGCACGCGCTTGGCGTAAAGTTGCACGACCAGAACAATGCATAATGCTGGTTTTCGCACGTTTTTAGCATTGGTGTACCTATATAAGCGGGTCCTGGTCTTGACGTACGCAAGCATCAATCCACTAAACATTGGTAATGGAACTAGGCAACTGTTTTCTCCTTGTTCTCTTCTGCGTGACTGGTACAGCTCAGCTGGTAGCGGGTGAGTGCATTATCGACGTTATAATTGGCGAGGCCTGCTTATAATACATATGCTGCACTGCAGGTGTATTCTTCAGGATTAGCCAATATGAAATGGCTGAGGACGTTGGGAACATTTCCATTCCAGTGGAATCTCTTCGTGACACAGAAGTACAGGCATACATCAGGGTTGTAGGTGAGGTGTAGCTAAATGTCAGTGGCCTCGTGGCAGTATGTAAAAACTGAAGTTATTTCACTAGGCCCTACTGTTTTGTTCTATCTTAGCAGCATCTCTAAATTTAGCCCTTAAGTACTACATTCCCTTTAATTAATGTCCAACTCGTGTCCTTGTATTGCAGCCATTTTTCAAGACCATGCCGTTCCTGGAGTTGACTATGAATTCCAAGGTGTTACGCTGGCTGCTCCTGAATTCAGGTTCACCATATATAGCCCCTGGAGCCATCAAGACCTTTGAGTTGCTCGTCACAGACGACAACGTTGCAGAGTTTTACAGGAAGAGAGTCGGGCTGGAGTCGGGTGTGTACGAATCCGGCCGACCGAGGGTCACCGATCGCGAGGAAATTTACATCAGCGACAATGATGGTATATAAGTACGACAGTGTATTAGGAACTGTTAGCTATCTGTGTATATAGAACACCTCCAATGCACTTCCTTAGTAAATGAAAAATCCTGCGAAAAATAGGAACCCATCCCTATTATACTAAATACTACTGTACTTAGTGATATCTGCTCAGTAAGGAATGATGAACAATAACTTCGAAAATTACAAGAGTAAAAGTGTTACAAGTATTATTTTTCTCTTCTTCCCAGGCCTTCACTTTGAGTCGCCAGTACTGACAATTAGGACCGACGAACTGCACAGACACACGAGCTCTGTGTCTTGTACACTCAGGCAGATGGCATGTCACCAAACGTTACTGCTTATGTAAAATGTTTCTTCTTCATTTGGTGAGAATGTAGTAGCAGCACTACTTTGCTATGACAATAAGTTGCAATTCCTATGCTATGACAATAAGGTACTATCATATGCCAATTATAATGTGTGCTTTACTATTGTGTTTTCTGTACAGCGAGTGACCTTATCTTCCATGGCCATGGAGTACTATTCAATCTCTCTAATGGAGAGAGGAAATGTTACAATGTGACCATCATTGACGACAACAAGAAAGAACAACTGGAATACTTTACCTTTCGCTCATACCTTTCCACTGGAACCATTGAGACTGACCGGGTGACCTTTGCAGTGCAGGGCAACGAGTCAAGTAGGTTTTGAGCATGTGTGGTACAGTGAGGTATAGTCTACCCTTGACAATGAGATCCAATTTGGGGATGGACCTAGCGTTAATAAGGTAGCTATCGGAGCATCAGACCACCCACTTGTTTCTTTCCTTGCTTGTGCTTTGTATCATCCCATCTCACTTGATTTTAAATGATTTCGCACCTTCAATTGTTCATGACTCGTTTGTACCAATATTTCAGTTGCTTACCTTGACCCGGAGAGCATTTTCTACGAGACAGTGGAGGGATATGGAGCAGTGACAGTCTGTGTGGCAGCAGAGGGTGGGGACGGCTCCGAGATGGTCAGAATCACTCTCACCAATACTCCCATCACCACTCAAGGTGTATACAGCCACCTCTTCACTTAAAAACAGTGTCTTATAATTATATAGCCTTTGACCTTAGACTCCTACAGCTTATATGAGTCCATATATAGGCACTAAAATGGACATGCAGCTTATGCATCCTAAAAGTTTTACTCTAAGCTTGTGCCAACCAATGTGTTTGAGAGTAAATCATTGTATCCTGCAACATTTTATGTCAAAAGTCTGCTTGGTGCCGTTTCCTGTTCTTGTAAGGAAGCAGTCATTTTTCCTCATTAAGGTGCACTGGACCGCGAACTACGGCACAGTTTTACTATGATGGTAGGACAGAGGAGAGTCTGTACGACTGTCAGCATCGTCGACGATGGAGAAGTTGAAAATACTGAGACTTTCGCGATGAGAATGTCTTACACGGCTGTTGAGAATCCCAAAATAATCCCCTACAACCACGACGGCCACTGTCTTCATATACGATGATGATTGTACGTATGTTTATGCTTCAGCATCACAACTGTATACTTAAATCACTTTTGTGTCCAGTATCTGTGACTGTGTGTATGCCAAACCAGGCATTTGGGCTTTTGTATCCAATAAAACCTCTGATAAGTCCGAGATAGGGACAACCTCTACAAAGGACATTTGTTTCAACCCCATGCCCATACTTTAGTATATTACTTACATTTTACCCGACAGAGAGTCATATAACTTTTGTGTATATTATATTCTGAATATACATATAATATATAGCTATGAGTTTGTATTTTGTTCACGTCATGCAGTTGCCTGCAGTCCAGAGTGTGTGAATGGAGTATGTCAGGAGTCACTCGAGTGCCGCTGCAACGAAGGCTGGACTGGCCCTGACTGCTCACAGAGTTAGTCAAGTCCCCCGTATGTAGCTATTATACTCTGTGATGTTATTGCACACAGAGGTTTGCCAGCCGGCTTGTGTTAATGGGGCATGCAATGCTGCTTCTGGGGTGTGTGGCTGTTGCTCTGGATACACTGGTACCTCCTGTGGTGAAGGTAAGACTGCAGCTTACATGCTATAGCACAGTGGTTTGAGGTGTGCCTTGCCTTGTGTTGTAGATTTTAACCCCTATCAGCCGAGTTGACCCAGGTTTGTATATAGATAGACTGCAGAGTCTGAATCCCACTCTGGGCAGGTCTTCTTTTTTCCATGGAAAAAAGAATTGTCCTGGGTGTAGTTTTTGCTTTGCTTTGACCTTGTTTGTTTGTTGTGTTAACACACAATGGTCTTTAAATTGTGCGATTGTGGATGCAGATATTGATGAGTGTGAGGGAGGGAGCCATGACTGCAGTCAGGTCTGTGTCAACACTCCTGGATCATACTACTGCAACTGTCAACGTGGCTTTCAGCTAGTCAATGGCACAGAGTGTGAAGGTATGAAAGGGAATGTGACAATACGAGATATTACTACAGATGGAACTAAAAATAACCTGGTGAACTAATTCCGTTGTTCAACTTAGCCCATTACCCTGTGTTGTACAGTTATGATATTCCAATGACTACACAGAGATGTGTGTGCCACCTTGTGTCAATGGAACATGCAATGCCACAACAGGCCGGTGTGATTGCTCCCCTGGATATACTGGGGTCTCCTGTGATGAGGGTAAGACCATGTCATGCTCTGTACATAGCTGTTTTTGCTGAGCATGCCTGAGCAGTGATCACTTAGCTAGCTTCAGTTTTTTCATGACCAATACACATGGGAAGTGATCATGACTATGAAATATAATTTCATGACTATGACTGGCCTATGGCTATAAATAGAATAAGAAGAGTGACGTCACATAAATCACTATTCGGCGTGCTTATACAGATACACAACAATAGCTGACCTGAGAATCATATTTTGCCTCAGCTGCAGTTTCTCCACTGGAGGTGGCATTCATCAAGGACTCTCCTCTTGTCCAGAGAGACTCTGTAGAGGCCCACATCCTTCTCTCGCGACCTGTCCAGTCTCTGGTCTGCAGACTCAAGGGAGGATCCATTTCCACAGAACAAGACTGTGAGCACTCTTAAAAAGTCAGGCAGCTACCTCAATCTACACACCCTAAGGGAATGTGACAGTATAATAATAATATAAGGGCTACATTCTAGAAGACCGTAACTTAATTGCATTCTTGCACTAGGCTTAGCTTCATGAGGAGGAATACCAAGTAGAAGGACAATTGAGTGCTATTGGATAGTGTTCACACCCATGGCCTATGCACATAACTTTGAAAGCCCTATTCACGTTTCTAAGCCATATTTCCTTTAACGTGTAGGGAGCTATCCTCAAAACACTTCAGTGCAAAAGCACTTGAGCTTTTAAACTGACCACACGAACTATTACGAAACACTTTTTACAGGCTCCAGTGGTCATGTGGAGTTCTCTGGACTGAGTCCTGCTCTCTACACTCTGAGAGTAGTGGCCAGGAATGATAGAAATGACAAAGCTTTCATTAAGACCCGTTTCGAGATCACAGATGACACGGAGCGCTGTACTCTCCACCTCATCAATGGTGGAGTGAGTGTGAGTGGAGACAGTGCCACAGTAGAGTTCACTGGGAGGGGACCTGCCCACGGCTACCTCTGTTACCTGGACAAGATGGAGCCCTACCAGTGTATGCCACAGTCTGTGTAGCTACTGAGTGTGTTTCCAGGTAGCTAGTGGTGAGTTGTGGTGTCATGACTGCAGGCTCCAGTCCAGTGGTGGTGAGTGGGTTGAGTTCTGGGAGACATGTCCTGAAGGTGGTACCCACTGGCTGTGGCAGGAACAGAATGAACCTGAAAACTGACTTTACGATTTGAAACTCCTTATACCTTTTTGATGTCACATTAGTAGCATTCATACATAACCATACTTGTGGTTTATAAAGTGATGGCATCAGTGTATGGGCCAACGAACCGTTTGATATTTCACGTGAGTCACATAAAAGAAAGCTGTGAGTCATAAGAAAAGTACACTGCTTTGAGAGCTGCTGGGACATACTTTCTAACTCATAATTCAAAGTGGCTCTGTTTTCTCCAGACCCAGTCAATGATGTTTGTGAATCAACTGAGGCATAGCTGCAGGCTTTTGCAGGGGTCAAGGGAGGGTTTTAGTGCAACATAACATAATAGGCACTGTATCAGTCAGGTTCAGTGACATCAGAGCTGATTGATTGCTGTGAAGTGCACTAAAGTAAGGGTGGGCTGTGGTGAAAACGATCGTTTCAACCTCTGACCACCTGAAAGTAGGCCTGTGTGCAATCACAATACTGGAGTGCATTCTTTCGACCACTAGTGGGTGGGTAAATGACAGCATTCAAAGGCCACACTGGGGCACTATATAAACATGCAGTTAGACATAATGACAGAAAGTCATGCGGTAACCCTGAACATGAGAGAGGCACGTGCCATGTCGCCATGTTTGCAGTATACTGGCCGCATCGAAAAAAACGTATGGGTTAGTCTACCGCACGAAACGTTAGTGTTCTGTTCCATGTCTAGAACAAGACGATCCGTCATTCGGATAACGCGCATGCGCAGTCATTTTTGCGCGCGCATGCAAAGCGCTCGGCAGGCAACTATTGACAGGGGTGTGCTATGGCGCCGAAAATGGCGTCATAAGAAAATCAGAGCGTCGATGGGTGAATTTCAGGCGCCAGCGCTTGCCGATTTTCCCAGTTCCTGGCCTGCTGAGGTTCCTGCTCTAGCAACGCCGTATCGACGCGCTACTGCCACCGCCCACAAAAAAAGTGCGCACGCATGCGTAAAATGTATGACTATAGTGGTGTTTACTTTCATCGCAGTGCTTATAATTGGATGCGGAGCCAAGCTAGTATCTGACACCAATACATCGTTATTAATGCAATGATGCAGTATAATAAACCCTGGAATGCATGGAGGGCATATTGTTACTTGTATGGGTTGTGTTGGGTTCAAATGACATCATTTCACAAACCAACTCTATGGCACATTTATTTCTCCATTTGAAACTTTCCCTTCTGTCCCTTCGCCCTCTCTGCCTCCCTTCTCCACTCCTTTTCCTCCACTGAACTTATTCTTTTCTCTCTCTTGTTCCTTGTCAACTTTATTCTCATCTTCTTCTTCACTCTTCCCCTCTCTCTCTCCTTCCTCTCCGACTTTATTCTCCTTCCTTCCGATATTGTTTCTTCTTTCTCCCTCTCTACCGTTCTCTTCCCCTCTCTCTTCACTATGTCCCTCTTTAGCTCCACTTTCGCATACTCTGAGGGCTATCTCGTCTTCTTGCGCGTCGTTTCGATACTGTTTGTATATACGACGAAAGGGCTTTAGCTATAGTCTTGCCGCTGCGCCCACCACCGGCCCCGCAAACACTCCTATTTTCAGAGCCGTCTCGAGAAAGTCCTTGCCGACCTCTTTGGCCGCGTCTTGCTGCGAGCTGCAGGCGACTCCCGTGAGCGCCCAGTTCACCAGATGCTCGCAGTTGTTCGTAAACAGCTCCCATCGTTTCTCTCCCAGACGAGTTCTCGCTCGCTCAAACGCCTCCTCAGGCGGGTAGAGCGTCTCGGGAAGGTCTTTGAACGTGAGGACTGTCACTTTGGCGGGGTTTATTCTGCACACCTCCTCCGTTATCAAACCCATGTCGGGTCTGGTCGGCGGCCATTCGAACCGAAATCGCGGGCCCTCGTCGCCGTCAGCGTTCGTCGCTGATGGCCTTCACTACGAGTAGATGGTGGTCGTACTTGTCTCGGTTCACTTTTATGTGGTCCCCTGCCTTTAGTTCGGAGAGACGGGTGATCGTCTTGACGTTGTACTGAAGATTGGTATGGATGTGATCTGGAGGCACGAATGGACTCCTGAAAATATCTCTCGACATGCTGGTTTGGTGAGGATCACAACGGAGGCGACACACTTGAGCGATACTCTTATTGGGTTTGGCGTAGTGGTCAAGGAATTTGGTGCTTATGTCAAGCCAGGCTAAATATGTGTGCTAATTGTCTTGACGAAGAGGTGTGTAATGCAGGACAGTATTAGTGTGTGTGCAGTGCGCACGTACCATGACCACCACGCGAGAGGCTGGGCGGGATATATAGCGGCTGCGCAGTATTATACGCGTGAGCATGCGCGGAATAATTGTGCGTGGGGCTGCTATATAGCTGCGCAGTGTGTCAGCATCGGCAATTCTGAGCGCGGGACGGTGTAACTGCGGATTCCAGCATGGAATACTTCTCTGGCGTGGTTGCAATAATCCTAGCTCTCCTACTAGCAACCGGTGGAGAGGGATGGACAGGGACGCGAGGCGGGTGTTCTGCTCCCTCGTCAGTGGCGATGAGCCGTATCATCACTAGCACATACAACGATTCCGGCCTACGAGTAGTGATTAGAGAAAACGAAACTGTTTGCAATTCGTATGCTCATGAAAAAATGTCTGTATTCTCTCTGTATGACCGGTGCAACGAAACGTCGTGCCTACCTGAGCCCGTGAGTGTTGTACTGGATATACTGTGCCTAGACGGCGTGTGGGAACTAACGCACTACGAAAGAGTGTCGTATTCTACAATCTCTAATGAAAGTCCAAACTGCACCGATTGTTTGGATGTGGAAGCGTTTCAAAGCAGAGGGTACCCTACCAATCCCCCACACTCCCTGTCGTATAACCAGACGACTCACTGCCTGTGTAAGCGAACACTCACCATGCTGCATTTATCTTCGCCGTTTCCATTGTGATATAACTATGTGGCCTGGTTACCCTTACCCTATACTTTGTGGAGAATCTAGGTATGGGTACCAAGATAACGTGCATTGTTCTAACAGCCGTTGAAAATAGCTGGGGCAGACCCTGGTGGTGGGTGTGGGTGTGTGGCCAACCAGAAGTAGACACCCAATTCCCCCTAGATCAGTCATATCTCATCTCTATCTCACACCAGAGAGGCTGAAATAATATACGATAAGTGCATGAGTCAGAAGACTAGGAAAGGTTGGCTAATTGATGGGCTGGGCTATGTGTTATTGATCTACTCTTATTATATACCTGTGGAATGGGATTGGAAACACATTTCTTTCAAGTGCTCATCTGTGGTATAAATAGATTGACAACCCAGCCCATCTATTAGCGGTAAAGATGCTCATCATCTCTGCAATATTAGTACAACAAACATCCATGTGTGTTAGTGCACTGTTCCGCACTCACATAAAGCAGCTTGCTAATAGAAGATGGATGGCAGCTAGCTAGCTCTCATCCTTTCACAAGAATGCACACGTGTGAGCTTTGAACCAAGACGGATAAGCCCTAAAATATTTTCATCATCACGCGATAGGTGCCGTAAATGACGTCATACTCATCAGCTATTCAATAACAATGTTTATTGTGACTTGTGTGGGCGGATCAAAGGAGCTGCGCATACTTTTATTACCCATATTGTAGTACACGTTCAATATGACAAATATTTAACGTTCAATGAAAAAATTGTTGAACTAGCATCAGCATCTTACACACAAAAACTGTGCTTTAGAGGCCGTAGAGGCGAGGGATGGTTGAGGCGACCTCACCCCTTCATTCAGCTATCTCTTCTACACTCTTGCACCCATGTGGCAAGGCCACGGCACACCGACCGGCCAAACGGCCCAGTGACCTATATGAAACGAGTTTCTCTGAGGGAGAAAGAGCCACCATACGACCTTTTCTGATTGCTGTAGCCTCGAGAACAGAGAACTCGCTTGTGAAGCTAGCGGGTGTGAACGTGCGCATGGGAAGTATGCTACGCCGTCGCATTTCTCTCGCTGGAGGTTGACGACTGCAACAAAGTCACATAATGCCCATCCTATCGTTTTATACATGATGCCTGTCTCAGTTTGTGCAAATGATGCTACATCCTCTGAGCCTACTACTCTGGGAAGGGCTGTGGCTGATGTCCATGCACATACCACTAATAATTGTGTTGTTTGTGATTGTGGTTCTGTTCGGTGTAAAAATAATATATATCAGGGCAGAACATTTGTGAGTAATGTCACCAAAAAACGGTATGATGTGGTTAGTTCTGCTTCCTCCATGAATTGTGCTACTGAGAATGTGGTGTATTTGATATCATGCACAAGATGTGGCGTACAGTATGTTGGAGAGACTAGCCAGAAATAACGCAGCCGTTTTAATAATCATAGAAACAGACTGAAGAGCATGGCCAACCTATACTTATATTATTATCATTTTAGTTCGGATGGACACACTGAGGTAGGCCTGAGACTATTATTCCCACAATTTGTCCGGATATTCTATTCTGAATTTCCTACTCCATATGCCTATTATTCTTTAAAGTTACCCATTATTCACAGAAATTTACCTATTATTCTGCTTGAAAAATGAAAAAACAGTACTATACAGAGCAGGCACATAAATATAACAAACATCACCCGATGGGAATTCGACGCCATTTTATCCACGTGGTTGTAGCGTGCCAGGATGGCTCCCGTGCCAGAATGGCTCATAGATTACAGTACATTAGCGTGCCAGAATGGCTCTGTAGACTAAGTGCACCAAATTAGTGTAGTAATAGCTTGATAGACGTGCTATTTCAGCAGCAATTGCTGATGCTAAATGGAGAGATATTACTAATAAGCTAGGATGGCTCGTGGAGTGCTCTCGCTCCCCAAAAATGCCCTGCATTCGCCATGCTCTTACATACCAACCATCCAGTGCTATCCTGTGATGGATCATGCCCATACATTTTGATTAGGCCCACAACATCCAAATCTCTCAAGCAAAGCTTTATCTGCAGGTTGGTAGGTATGCTCTTAGGCTGAGCTCGGAAAAGTCGGCACGTCCCCCAACGCCGCGCGCCATCCAGATATCGATGATGCATGACGTGACCACGGCGGCGCGCCGCTCTTGGCCATTCTGGCACGCTACACGTGGTTTTTATCCCTGATTCCCTGTCCGAGTCGGAGTCCGTTCCGTTTTGACCCACTCGTGCGCGTGACGCGTGTCCACTCGCACTTCGCCCTTCCGCGAGTTGCCGGCTCGTCGCTCGCTTGGAAACTTTCAACCTATTATTCTTGGAATTATTCTTATTCCCAGAGGGACCTATTATTCCTGAAATTATTCTGGAATAATCGACGCAGGACTACACTGAGGATGATATTATATGTATTATATGCCAACTGAGCAAAATTGTTGACACTGGAAAAAAAGTTGTTCAACCTTTAAGAGGCTTGAAAGAGAAGATTATTGGTGCAGGGAATTATCCTATGGACTGCATGATAATGTGAGGGCGGTTGGTAACATATCTAAGCAGACAGACCACAAACAGAAAGACAGACAGACAGACTTATGTGCATGCAGCACATACCAGTGGTAAAGCCTTGTGGGGATGAATCTCATTAGTTCAGAACCACAAGTGCTGCACTCCTGGTAGCCTTTATAAACTCGTGATGCCAGAGAGAGAAGTTGTGGTATGCTCTGCTGATGAGGGCCAACAAGCCCAACAGCTGTCCAGAGCTCCACATCTTTTTTCTCTTGGCATCACATGGTCTAATACCTTCATGCTTACAGAGGTTTGATAACAACCATATGAAAATTCTAATTGTCACATTTAGTGCTCCCCTCCTGCTATAATGAGGCTGGTTCACTTATTGGATACTTCAGTGCCAGAGAATGTTGCGTGGAGATGGAAGAGAGCCGTTCCTACATATATTTGGATGAATCTTTCCCCTTCCCCTGCATAGGTGTGTTAATGCCTGCATTGGCTGGATTTGTATCTGTTTACTTTATACACGTATAGTGCATGGATTTGTGAAGACAAAATACAGTGTTGTAGAGGGGGAGACATTGGACATTGTTTTTGGAAGAAATGCCAAGAGCACAACTAACTTTCCACTGCTCACAATCGAAGGCAGTGTCATATCGGAGGGGGATGAGGATGGTAAGTTCCAACATGCAATGAGTAACCTGATAAATTAACCAGATCCCCTCTCTTTCAGATTATCAGCCAGTCTCAGTCACTTTGACTCGGAGAGACTCAAGGATAACTCTCAGTTTGACTGCATACAATGATACGATTGCTTTGGAAGATGGCAACAAAGTCTTTCTAAGACACACTTCCGGTATTAATAATTATGTTAATCTGGTGGAGCAAAGAGGGGAGTTTTTCAGCCACACTGCAGAAGTAGCCATTGTGGATAAAAACAACCGTAAGTTGTGTACCTAGCCTAAATCTAAAGTGATCAATACAAACTCAATCAAACTGCAAAAATTCCTAGCTCAAAGAAGAGCAGCATACAAGCCTATAATCAAAAGCACTAAAGTGCAAACCCTTGGCACAGAATGCACATGTGTAGCGCTGTAACATTGATATAAGTTGACTGGGCCATCCATCGTCGACGGAGCCAGTTTATCGCCGCCAGAGATCAAAACTGACAGAGAGGAGACACTGAAGAAAAACTGCTTGGCAGCATTATGATGCAGCAAAGAACGTCGTTTACTTATAGCACTAGCGACAGTAATAGCATGGTTAGTTGGGATAGCTTTCTGATTGTAATGCAAGGGTACTGGATTCAGACTTGACTACTTCAATTTTTTTACCAACCCTTTTAAAACCAATATCTAACATTGATTTTGTACTTCACATACAAATGTATTGTAACGCGTAGATCATTGATAAAGCTGAACACGAAACGTATTTGCTGCGGCATATTTGCCAAACATTGTGTGTTGAACTATATGCTTTTTTATGTCCTAGGAATAGGCTGTGTGCTTGCTCTCTCAAAATGTGTGCATTTCTCTAGCCTTCTGAATTCTCTGCAGGAGTGGAAATAGATCTCGCTCAGTCTGTATACACTGTGTCCGAAGATGAAGCCGGTAATCAAATACTCACTCTAGTAATCAAGAACGGTTTAACAGCAGAGGGCCCTATCCCCCTGAGGCTCACAGCTATGAGTCTGACTTCGCCGGTTGTTAATGAGGTTGAGAGGGCTACACCAAGACAAGATTTCCATGTAGAGACTGTGGGTATTGAAATCCCTCCTGGAGCAGTTGGAACGACCAATATTAGTCTGAACGACATCATTATTGATGATAACACTGTTGAAAACCGCATCCAGAGGTTCAGCCTGATGGTGGAGGTATCTGAAGACCGAGTGTTCTTTGATTCAGACAACTCCACTGAGAAATCAGTTGAAGTGGCTATTGAGAGTGATGACAGTAAGATGTCTTACTTAGGTGTAGCTCATGCTTTGGTGTTTTGCTCTCTTCTTTTACAGCGGTCAGCGTTTCTCTATTGTCGTCTAATCTGGTATTTTATGAAAGTGATGAAAGTCCATTCAATATTTGTGTGATCGTGATAAGTGAAGGAACAGACCAAAACTGTCCTGTGGAGTTTCAAGTAAACTATACTCTCAGCTTCACCAAGTACTCATGTAAGTAAAAAAATTTTGTCTTTTTTCATGATACACAATGAAGATACCGAAAATGGAGATGGTGAGACAATCCTTCGTGATGTTACTGTCGATAAGTGTGACAACATGACATGTGTCAATCTTAAGGCTGTCTTCAACATTCCGAATGATGAAGAATTTATGTTTAATGTGTCTCTTCTACCCGATGCTGAAAGTGATGTACCTCAGTCTAGAATTTATGTTTAATGTGTCTCTTCTACCCGATGCTGAAAGTGATGTACCTCAGTCTGGGATGTTTCGAGTCTCTACAGATGTTTTGACGTTTGCAATAAGAGACGACTGTAAGTTGTAGATAATAAATTAATCACTTACAAGGTGTCTCTCTTTTTGACCATAGTACTTCAGATTAGGCTGGAAAGCAGGGAACACTATGTTTTTGAGTCTACCAGTGCTGTTAACATCTGTCTGGTGATAGAAAATGGTGCGGATGAGGATTGTCCAATAAATGCTTCTCTCTACTACCGTGTTCACATATCTGGTGGAAATGCAAGTAAGGGTTGTTACTGAGGCTGAATGTAGCAGTCAATATCTGATTTTGTAACAGGTGCAGTTGAAGACTACCAGGCACCACTAAATGTTTTTACACCATGTAAAGAAAGAAGCTGCTTTCAAATTGATATTTTGGACTCATCCCCTGTTCCTGAAGATGTTGAATATTTCGAGTTTAGTCTGAGTCTCCTGAATGATGCATCCCAGTATGCAGAACTGGTGGACACAGTAGGAAGAGTCTTCATCATACCAAAGCGTATGTATTATTTAAAGAGTATTGCGCGCATCCAGCTTTTATATATAACATTGTTTCTTGCGATCCTCCCCACCACACACACACACACCATTTTTACACTTGTGAGTATCACTATAGACATCACCCAGGACCCTAGAGTAACAAACCCACTTCCCCCTTAGGAGATTCCATACCTATGACATCACAACTCCCTATAAATACCCCACTGTGCATTAGTAGAACCATAGGATTGCAAGTCCCCCAGAGAGCCTAAGGTATGTGATTGTACACTACTGTAAGCTGTAGATTTTACACGAGAGTCTGTTGCATCATTCCGTGACCTCCCACTCGGGATCTACAACCTCGTAGATGCACGCCGCAGGTGACTAACCTATACATAGATTACCTAGCTGTGTATAATACTTGTGGAAACTATTTTCACATGACTATTAAGTAGTTCACTTTTCAAAGAGACTCTGGACTCCAACCAGGTGAAGTGCATGGCCTCGCCGCTTCCAGAATGTGCAGCATGTTAGGAGTTTAAAGAGGCCGAAACATGCTGTACATGATGAAGGAATGGGAACTCCCCTGATGACCAGAAAATAAATTATTTATAGTCTCTCTCTACCACTTTACTGTTTCCAAGCAAACCTGCCAGGTCTGTGGTTAGTATTTTTACGGACACCTGGACAGTTGCATGCTATGACGCTGACAAAGCCGCCCACACTCTCCCCTGTTAACTCTTTCGTAAATTCCTTCCCCTTTCTTGTTGATAATCCATACCCAACACACACACACACAAATTCCTCCCTGCAGCTACAGTCAATCTTATAGCAACATCATTTAGTGGCAGTGAAGCAAATGAGAAAGTTACAGTCTGTGCTTCTCTCTCCAACTATGACACCCGCTATAATATCAGCGTATTGATTAATGTGGTTCCTACTCTTTGGGAAAATCCTCAAACTGCAGGTAAGCTAGGCACTTAGCTACTCTTGTTGTTGTTTTTTTACCTACTCTATGTCACTTCAGATTATGATGATTTCAGCAACGAAACCTTAGAGATGAGGTTTAATTCAAATGAGGCATGTGTTGATGTCAAACTCTTTGATGATGACGTGGTTGAACTACGCTATGGATATTTTCGGGAGAGTTTTCGAGTCACACTTGAATCACCAGACAACAATGTTCGGTTAGGAGAAGTAGTATCAGCACGGGTTGGTATCATTGATGACGATTGTAAGTGTTAACCAAGCAAGCCTTCTCCTCTCCAATTTACTTTCATTTGTACCATTCAGATATTTGGGTTGAAGTAGATCGTGACTTGACAAACTCCACTGTACGAGAGGGAATCAGTGGTCCAGCTAGAGTGTGTGCTAGTGTAGTGAATCCTCTTGACCCCGTCTGCCCCATTCAATTTGATACTTATATTTCCTTCGTTTCTAGAAGTGGCAGTGCAGGTACGTATGTTATGTATACAGTATTTGTGTAAGAAATACTGACAGCTTTTTATTTATTATTTCAGCATCTCCTGGAGATTTCAGGGCAATATCCATAATCACGGCAATCAAACAGTGTGATCATACAGTGTGTGTGGACATGGTCTATCATGATGACAATATAGTGGAAACGGACGAGGTGTTTCAGGTGTATGTTACAAATACTCCAGGCCTACATCCAGGCATCAGAGTTGATCGGACCAGATATGGCATAACAATTGTGGATAATGATGGTAAATTACAGGCTTGTTGAGTAACGGATTAAGTAAGTTTAATCTATTCTTTTTCTCCCTCTCAGTTGTCACCATTGGTCCTGACCCTCTCAATATTAATGTTAATGAGTCGGTGGGTGTGGTTGAAGTTTGCATTGTTGCAGAAGATGGGTTTGATGAGGACTGTCCAGTAGGTTTTCCTTTTAATCTGACACTACAAATCAGTGAAGGTCTGGGCTCATAATGCACAAACTGTGAATGTTATTAGTATTATTACTTTAGATTATACTGAAAATCTGGTGTTTGAAGAGTGTGATGAATTAGATCGATGCCTTGTGCTGTCAATAATTGATGATGATCGGGTTGAAGAAGATGAACAACTGGGCATTATTCTGAAGAACACACGTGAGAGGGAAAATGTTTTACTCAGGAATGGTACTCTCACCGTCATCGACGATGATGGTATGTTAACGTGCAGTACTAGTTACAAATCTCGGTTAGGTTTAACTTCCAGAGACCTTGAACTTCTGTGCTAAACATACACAGAGCTCTAAACACACCTCTTGTGCAGTTATGGTAAGGAAGCGTCAGATCTTTACTTGGTTAAAAGTTGCCTACCTGTAGTATGGCACTGCTGCAGCAGTTCCAAACATTAACTATATAGCAGGTTAATTTGTAGAAACGCTATGCCTAAAGTATTAAGAACAATTTGTCACTTCTCCAACCAAATTAGTCAGGATGGATTGATGATCGTGGTGATGTCATGTTTGATATGGCCCAGAAAATTACCCACAAGAAAAAAAACTCCACTCTTTTAGTGTAGAGCACTGTAACTGCATAGTCGCATATATTATACAACCACTGGTGAAGTTATAGACAGTGAAAGACAAAAAGGTTCCTAGCCGCAATTCCATATAGTCACTACAAAACATGGCAACAACAAGCTATTTCGTCAACGAATAATAATCACAAACTACTCTGTACTTTGTAAAGGTTAAAGATAATGTTGAGCACGCCTGAGCAGCGACGATCACTTAGCTTCAGATCTCTTTTCTCATGACCCAATACGCATGGGAAGTGATCATGACTATGACTGGCCTATGGCTATAAATAGAATAAGAAGAGTGACGTCACATAAATCACTATTACGGCGGGCTTACACAGATACACAACAATAGCTGACCTGAGAATCATCTTTTGCTTCAGCTGCAGTTCCTCCACTGGAGGTGGCGTTCATCGAGGACTCTCCTCTTGTCCAGGGAGACTCTGTGGAGGCCCACATCCTTCTCTCACGACCTGTCCAGTCTCTTGTCTGCAGACTCAAGGGAGGATCCTTCAGAACTGAGAAAAACTGTGAGCACAGTTAACTTTTTAAAAGTTAGGCAGCTATATACTTCAATCTACACACCCTCAAACCCTTAAAGGGAATGACAGTATTTTACGGGCATTTGAAAGTACTTTTTGAAACTGCTACTGAAAACGTAATTGCATAGGAGGAAGGATTATCAAGGAATGCTATTAGATAGTGTTCACAACCAGGGCCTATGTACATAGCTTTGAAAGCCCTATTGTTAAGTTCACGTTTCTAAGCCACATTCCCTTTAACGTGTAGGGAGCTATCCTCAAAACACTTCAGTGCAAAAGCACTTGAGCTTTTAAACTGACCACACGAACTATTACGAAACACTTTTTACAGGCTCCAGTGGTCATGTGGTGTTCTCTGGACTGAGTCCTGCTCTCTACACTCTGAGAGTAGTGGCCACGAATGATAGAAATGACAAAGCTTTCATTAAGACCCGTTTCGAGATCACAGATGACACGGAGCGCTGTACTCTCCACCTCATCAATGGTGGAGTGAGTGTGAGTGGAAACAGTGCCACAGTAGAGTTCACTGGGAGGGGACCTGCCCACGGCTACCTCTGTTACCTGGACAAGATGGAGCCCTACCAGTGTATGCCACCATCTGTGTAGCTACTGAGTGTGTTTCCAGGTAGCTAGTGGTGAGTTGTGGGGTCATGACTGCAGGCTCCCGTCCAGTGGTGGTGAATGGGTTGAGTTCTGGGAGACATGTCCTGAAGGTGGTACCCACTGGCTGTGGCAGGAACAGAATGAACCTGAAAACTGACTTTACGTTTTGAAACTCCTATAATACCTTTATTAATGTAACATTAATACATAACCATACTTGTGGTTTATTAACACTGAGGCTAAGTAAGGGCCGGAACGTTTGAGTATTCACGTGAAGTGTCACATAAGAAGAAGCTGTGAGTCCTATTATTATTCCCTGAGAAAGTCCACTGCTTGTAGATACTGCTGCGCGAGATTCCAAGTGGCTCTGTTTTCTCCAGCCAGGACCAATGCGTGGGTGAGCATGAGGCATAGCGACAGGCTGTTAGCGGGTCAAGGGAGGGTTCGAGTGCACATAACAATAGCCCTTGATCAGCAGGTTCCGTGACATCAGAGCTGACTGCTTGCTGCTGCGAAGTGCACCAAAGTAAGGGTGGATGTGGTGACGAATGAAACCAATCGTTTCAACCTTCTGACCCCTGAGTGAGGCCTGTGTGCAATCACAATACTGTAGTGCATTCTTTAAACCACTATATATGTGGTTGTTTAATGACAGTCATTCAAGGCCCACTAACATGAGCGGTGATGTATAACTTTCCCTTTCGGTCAAAATGTTGTAAATTTACCCACTTCTAGAAATCCACAACTCGCGCCCACTGTGAACTCCCTTGCACCCGTCCGGCAGGCCGACAGGCGGCGTAAAACCACCGACGGCATCCTCAGAAGTGGTCAGTGCCCGGCTCTTGTGATGGTGCGGTCGGGAGCTTAGATGTTTCTTTCATCTAGACCTCTACCCTTTCAGTACTCTAAAAAAAGCCACCGGGGTCCGGAGTGAGTAAGACATGTCTCAGATGGGTAAGTCAGTGTCTCAGCAGCTGAAGGCCAGGCACGAGGTCTGTGCGTCTGTAAAACGGCGGAAGACCCATGCGTGCGCGTGCGCGGATGAAAGGGGTGTACGTGTGTCGATATGGGCAGAATTACGCATGCGTGCAGGCTGAGATATACTGGATAACGCGCATGCTCAGTCGTTTGTTGCGCGCATAAAAGCTGCGAGCAAAACGCTCTGCAGGCAACTAGCTATTGAGTTGACGGCTACGCAAGAGCCATGGCACTCTTAAAAATAGCTTTTGCCTTTATGACTGCTGCTATTCAGCTAGTGTACTCGAATGACGGTGAGTTTTAGCTATAGCTATAATAGCTACCAGCGTGACTGGCCAAACTTTTTTTATCTCAGATATATACCTCGTGGGTCGTACTTATATAGAGTACCTGAGGACTGTAGGACTGTTCCTATCACCATTGCTTCCAGAGCCACTGAAACCAGAGAGGCATTTATTCTACTTCTACTTTGATTATTGTAAGTATAGCTATACCTATTATATTATGCAATTTTCTATATTTGTTATCTGTAATTCTATGCAGATGGTCGTCTTTATGATGCCATCCTTGGAGATGATTATGAGTTTCCAAATATTACTCATGTCATCACCTTTCTTTAATTTACTCATATCTCCTGGAGCCACAAGGAGCTTTGATATAACCATCATTGATGATAATATCGCAGAAATGGAATATTATTATCGACATTATTATTGGGAAGAGGTCATCTCGCTTTTAATATTGGGGTGTATGTTTCTGATGAAGAGATTACTGTGGCAGTTACTATCTATACATTGACGACACTGATGGTAGGTTCAAAGTATTATAGCTATTATATAATGGCTAACCTATACTTTCAGGTTTAAGATTTGAACTCCTGAGGGATGGAATCACTGTTATGGAGGAAGATGTGGGGACTGTTGATCTGTGTATTACATACAGAGGAGATAATGTACCACCAGTTATTGATGCTGCTTTTCAAGAACGTACTTATGGTAACCAATAAACTTTACCATACTATCTAGACTACTTCCAATGGTGGTATAATCTACAACACACGGTGATGACATCATTTTCAATACCACTGGTTTAGTATTCTCAATGGAAAATGGTGACAGGATGTGCTTTAGTGTGACGATTGTTGATGATAATGAGATTGAGTATAGTGAGTATTTTTACTTCCGTTTCGATGCCATCAACAGCTCTCTCACATATTCTTACTTTTTTGATGAAACTTATATCACTGTAACAGACAACGAAGGTTAGTTGTGCACTATTAGTTTGAAAGCAGTTTAGAATCAGCATGTCTGTTTTTTCAGCCTTCAGGATTGGTCTGGAGAGCTCATCCTACTCAGTATTGGAGAGTGACGGAGTAGTGACCATCTGTGTGACTGCCGATCGTGGGGACGGTTCTGAGGTGTACACAGCCACTCTCTCCAGCATCAATATCACCACTCAAGGTATAACAATAAGCACACATATTACAATAATGTCATTCTACACTACCTAAAGGTCTGGTTGATCATGGGTCACTGGACCAGCAGCTAACTCTATCAGCTAGTCTGGGCAGGCAGTGTTTCAACATCACTATCACTAATGATGATGTGGTTGAGGAAGATGAGTTCTTTCAACTAACTCTCACTTCCATCGCAAGGAATTCTTCAAACCTTTTCCTTACCAAGAAACAACACCACTGGCTACTGTGACCATAATCGATGACGATTGTAAGCCATTAATTTTTATTACATTAAAGTCATAAATTGTGCTGAAATATCGTCAGTGGTGTGCACTCCAAACTGTGTGAATGGACTATGTAAATTTCCGGGAGTCTGCCAGTGTTTTGAAGGATGGATTGATGAAGACTGTTCGAGAGGTTAGCTAAAGGCCCCAATGGGCTTCCGTACGTAGACCTAACATTAAGCTCCCTGCGTGCATTGAGTATACATTCTATACTCATAGAGATATGTCAGCCACCTTGTGTCAATGGAAGGTGCAATGTCAACACTGGATACTGTGACTGCTCTCCTGGATACACTGGTGCCTCGTGCAGTGAAGGTTAGACATACAAAAACACATGGCACGGCATCCTACCAGATCCCCAGATATAATGGAGTGCAAAGACGAAAATGGAGGCTGTGACCAGATCTGCATTGACTTTCCTGGTGGCTACAGCTGTTCATGCAAAGCAGGGTTTTACTCAACTTACCTCAGATGGAAGCTCTTGTAGTGGTATGGGAACTGACTGATATGATAATCCTAAGAGTATACTCTAAATATTTGTGTGCCTGGTGTTGTGGATGCAGATATTGATGAGTGTGAGGGAGGGAGCCATGACTGCAGTCAGATCTGTGTCAACACTCCTGGATCATACTACTGCAACTGTCAGCGTGGCTTTCAGCTGGGCAAATAGCACACACTGTGGAGGTATATAATGCTTCATGTCATTTTTGTGAGAGTGCTTGCATTATACATCATGTATCAACCGCAGATGTGAACGAATGTGAACTCTTTCCTAATGGATTCTGCAGCCAAGTGTGTGTCAACACCGATGGATCTTTCCACTGTGAATGTAGAGGTGGATACGGCCTGTTTGGATCATCTTTCTGCACAGGCATGCATGGCATTTTCGATGAGTAGTCTCTAAGATAACACATGCTTACTATGCAGATATTGATGAGTGTAGTGAGGGGATTGATGAATGCAATAAGAGTGGACCCACACCGTCTCGCTGTATCAACACTGAAGGGAGCTACAGGTGTACTTGTGATGAACATGTTGGGTACCGTTTAGCTACTGACAACATAACTTGCAAAGGTATACACATTTCTCTACTACACACAAGTAACATTTTAAGTATTAACGGTTTGCAGATGTGGACGAATGTGAAGAGAATATTCATGTGTGCACAGAGATTTGTGTCAATACACCTGGTTCCTACAGTTGCTCTTGCCCTGAAGGATATGTACTTGAAGATGATGAGACATCATGCAGTGGTTAGTGGGGCATCCGGTTCAAAGAGATCATTGTGTGGTCACATTATTGTGAAACAGACATAGATGAATGTATGCTCATGAATGGTGGCTGCCAGCACTCCTGTACTAATGAACTTGGTAGCTTCAACTGCAGTTGTGACAAGGGATATAGGCTATTGAAGGATGGATTACAGTGTGAAGGTAAGGAAACCTATTTTTTGGAAGCTTATTCTTTATTCAACGTTTAGCTCTCAGTTGTGATCCGGTTCTTGAAGCTCCACTGAATGGTTCTATGGACTGTGACACACAGACAGTGGGTGGGACTTGCAGGTTCACCTGTGACGAGGGCTACACTCTGAGAGGCTCAGACAGTCGGACCTGTCTCCCCTCCCTCCAGTGGAGGGAACCTCCTGCCATATGTGACCCTCCAATGTGCCCTCACCTCACTCCTCCTGACAATGGATTTGTGTTGTTCCCATGTACCAGAGAGGAGGGCCATCTGTGTCGTGTTGTGTGTGCCCATGGCTACAGCTTAGAGGGTCCTAGCAATCAGACATGTACAAAGGATAACGTGGGCAGTCTTGTGTGGAGTGATGGACCACAGTGTGTGGGTGAGTTGGCTTTGTAATGAAAACCCTCCTCTTGTGGCCTGCCTGCCTTTGATAAGTTCAGTAGTAAAGTAAGAAGCACTATTACAGCAGAGTGAAAATGCACGTGCATTAGTGGATGAAAGGATTTTCTGTGCACACAGCTTGTAGTAGCTAGTTCCATGGCTTTGTATATGTGTAGGTTCTGAGAAACAACCTTTATTGTGCAATTTCTAGTAGCTTGATTCCCAGAGCGGAAATGTTGACTGGAAAGGGGTGGAAGTTTCAGGTTTTAGCAGACTGCACCTCTCTCTATTGTCTAAAGCCTGCATAAATAAAATTTGAGGCTCAAAGTTCTTTCCATTCTATACTTATGGCCCCATGTGTCACACAAGTATAGATGCTCAAACTTGCGCGATAAGGGTTGTTTACTCAATCAGCTCTCAGCAATTCGCATAAATTCAGACAATGGTGAAAGGCAAGACTTGAAAATTTGTTAGCAAGTATACATAATGACACGAGTCGTAACCCTCGGCGCGCATGCGCAGCGAGGGTTGTACGTGTGTCTGTCGACGCTTATACAGGCCACGAAGTGGATTATAAGCGATGTCATTGGGTTCAGAACTATGCGAGCCTGAAAAAACAGTGATTTTCCTGAAACGACAGCGTTCGAGAGATATGCCGAGCGAAAAAGCCAATCCACTGGAACTGGTATATACGCTCAGTCTGGGTACCTTGGAGACACAGGGAGGCACAACGAAGGGCGTGTGTCGACTCCCATATGCTATCTACTAGTGTAGCTAGCCCGTGGACTCCGCAAGCTACTAGCGGGAGACCACGAGTAATACTCTCATAGCCCTGCGGCCCATACCGCGCATGCGCAGTGCGCCGAGGGTTAATGCGCACGCGCATACCTCGCGCGCCAGCCAATGCCGATTGAGGCCGCTCGATCGTGTGCGCGCGCTCTACTCACCTGACTGCGCGCGAAGCCAGACTTCCTACGAATCTGCGCGCACCGGCGGAAGCTAGACTTCCTACGAATGACGGAAGTTGACATTCCTAAGCGTGACTAATTGACATTCTTAAGCGTGACGACACGTACGTACGTACGCGTTGCCTCACGCTAACGCGCTCGGCAATTATAGCTCAGCTGGTAGCCAAGACTGTAGAGTGTCGTGGGTTTGAATCCCAACTGGGGCAGCTCTTCTTTTTCTCGCAGGAAAAAAGAACTGTCCTGGGTGTAGTTGACTTGTTTGTCTTGCCTTTGCCTTTCTACCTTCGAGTTTTCAGATACAATTTCGCATTCTATTTCAGAAAGTAGTAAATGTTCTCCCAATCCTTGCTTGAATGGAGGATTTTGTATTGAGGATGAAACTGACTTTACTTGTGTGTGCAATGGAACAGCAACTGGTTATGGTGGAGAGACTTGTAGAGCAGTCATTGTGAATTTGGAACCAATCCCACCAGTTACAAATGGATTAGATTTCCAAATAAGTTTATACACTGATGTAAAAGGATTCAGTGAAAGGGTAAGAGTGAAAATTGACAGACCTAAAGTGAGACAATGTGCTACGTGTGAATAGTGAAGAAAAAAGTCCTGCAACTGTAACAGGTGCAATAGGGGTAGTAAGAGTTAGTTTACCGAGAAATACTCCCAAAGTAATGTATGTGCCACGAGAGAGAAATGTATACATATCTGGTGGCTCGGATAATGAGACACAATCGTATTTTCAACGGTTTAATCTCACAAGAGGACTGTTGGAGCCAAGTTGTTGCAGTGCAGATGATCATGTCACACTATCCTGTCCTGGGGGCTCCACTCGGCCAATATCACTGCTGTCACCATGTCAGTGGAGTACTACCAAATGTGGAAGTGACAAGAGCAAATGGTGCTGTGTTTGCTAAGAGTGGTGATTTATCTCTACCAACCTCAGTCTCTGGCCTAAGGTATAGGGAGAAACGTAATAGACACTAGCACACAATGACCTTAGAGCAACGTCTCCCAGTGAGTGTAAAGTTTGCAGTGAATGCAACAACGCAGATCCTACGTGCTATTGCTACGTTCACACACAACAAGACACGGCCGAGTTTCTCCAAACCAGGGCCTTGGCCTTCACTTACATCTCCCAAATCAAATCTTTACTTCCACCTTGGTTGGAACTGCTTGTAGATTTACAGATGTCATTAGAGTCGAGTGGATCGACTAAAAACGACCTGTTTGCTCCAATAACTCGACCCAGTGAGCCGGTTTCCTCGTTTGAAGGTTGTGACAAACTCACTAACCTGGAAGGTAGTAGGTATTCAGTGTTGAGATATGACAAAACTCTATCAGCAGTGATAGACAGCCAGAGATATGACTACAGAGAGAGCACTGAGACTGGAGATGTCATGTGTTTTGCAGTTGACTTGTGTCATGAATCAGAGTCTCCAGTTCACATGCAGATCTCCCAGCCAATCAATGACATTCTAGTCTACCAGTATCTCCGTGGGTTCACTGACAGACAGTGGAACATTCTCCTCAATACTGTGTCAGTCTTCAAACAGTCTGTTACTCAAAGTAGCAGCGATACATTTTGGAATGGCATGGAGATGATGTCACTGCCAGATGTAAAAGTAGATATTTCGGTGAACACAGAGCTTGAGCTTCAATTTAACGAGGGTGGCCTCAATTTCATGGTGGAATTCAGCGGAGATGCTTCATTTGAATACAGAGTAAGCTATCTATATTTTCATGGTCTATTAATGTATTTGCTACTTTTTATACCGACAGGAAAGACAAGGAACACTGGAAGGCCAGATTACTTTAGTAGCTAGTAGCAAGATTGATGGAACTGAGCAGAGCTTCCATCTCAACAGCTACGACAGAACGACAAATGCCTACTTTTACATTGAAGGTGGGTCTCTACAAAATGCTCTTCTTGTTTACTTGTTTCTATTTGTTGTATCTAGGTGGTGGGGATCCGTGTAAGAGCAAGACAGGATTATCTTTTGAAGCAAGTTACCAGCCACAACCTGGTGAGCTGTTCTTCACACGGCTTCTTCGATTCACTGAAATCACTCAGAGCTGTAGCTTCAGTGCCTTCTTGCCAATAACCAGTGACTACAGAGCTCTTGGTCTCAGTCTACACACTGAGTGTCCTCTTCTTGCTATTGGACACCTCATCTTGCCTGAAATGTCCCACACCATCACCTTCATTGGATCAGAGAATCCTAACTGCTTCACTAGTAACTTCCTTGAAGTTCCAGACCCAGCTCTTGTGATTGAATCTGAGTTGGTCAACGATCGCTTGCCTCTTGGGAACATCTTTGAACTTCAGGCCAACTCTACAGGTCCTGATGTAGTGACTGTCTTTGGAAGAGAGGATTCCGGACCAGTCTCTCAGTTTCATTCGGTACAAGTGACTCTGTTTGGAGGAGTGTTTGAGTCAGAGGCCACCGTCAGGAATGATCAGCTGACAATCTCCACCAGTAGTGGTAGTGTGTTTGGCTATCCAGCTGAGCTGACCATCACTGCACCTTCCAACAAGACTGACTGGCAGGACCTGGAATTGACTGTGGACGGCTCCCTACTCTCAGGCAGTGGCAGCTTCGTAGAGAGCCTGAGTGAAGTGGTTACAAAGAAACTGAGAATGCTGGCCGAATCGGCAAATTCACGACGAGAAGTAGCTCAGATGTCTCTTAATCAGTCAGAAAAGAGGCTTCTTGTCGTTGAAGTTCAATACAACGAGGCAGTTGCAAACGTGTCACTAGCTGAACAAAGGAGAGACTCGCAAAGTGAACTTGTTAAAGAAACAACAATGAAATTGCAGCAGGTCCAACGGGAGTTCAATGATAGCCGAGATGAGCTACAAGAACTGGTGGACATTGACAAACAGTGCACGGAAGAGGTGTGTAGGGATGTTTGCATGCCTGGAGAAGTGTGCAGAAACTGCTCCATGCCAACTTTCATTGAAAAGACTGGAAAGTGTCCAATCACAGTCAAAGAAGTCAGAAATATACGTGTTCCTCCGTTCTTTGTAACAAGAACCACGTGGATGTTTGTGACTCAGTGCCGTCTTGACGACAATCGGGTGTGCATTGAGGAAGACTGTCCAGTGGGTGTCGATAAAGTATGCTATGGGAAATGTGTTCCGGTGTTTGAATCACGTCTTCCGGTGTACTACTGGAGAATGGTAGAAGTGGACGTACCATCATTTGAAAATTGCACTGTCCGAATCTACAACTCTTCGGTTCCCAGTACATGTTGTGAGAATGTGACGTGTGCTGCGAGGGTACCAGATCCCACGTGTGTTAGAAACAATGCAGACTGTAGAGCAATGCGCCAGAGGGAAGCAGTGATGCACAGGGTGTCGGGGACGAGGCTAGGGAACTGTTTCAACAGTTGGTGGAAGCTCGAAGGAACCGCTCGTTGGCCCAAACTTCTAAGAGAAGAGCTGGTGTTGAATACGAAATTTACAAACAGAGGGTGGATCAGTTGGCGATGAGTTTGGAGAGACTTCAAAAAGCAAATGATAACTCTGAAACGGTGTATGACCGTACATTGGAAGAAGTGGAACCAATTCTGAGAATATTTGAAAGTGGTAATGACAGTGGGTATCAGAATGTCTTCAGCATCAATGGTGTCACATTCAACACAAAATTGACCGACAGTCCAACATCCTTGGCCTTCAATCTGATAGACAACAGTGGAGCTGAGTACCGAGAATCATACCTGTACATTTCAACACAATCAGAAGCAGTCAACCTTGAAAGAATGGGCGATGGAATAATAGACACAGCATTCATTGGTGACTCCAAGCGAAGTACGTGGCTACAGACAAGGCTGAGGAGACAGACATCAGCAGATCTCACTCCAAGACAGATCTTTGCCTCTCGCTGCACTCACATCTCGAACACACAACTCTTCTTTGCCGAGATCCATGCCAGACTAACAGAGATTGAAGAGAACATTAACACCTCTCGTGAAGGAGCCGGTGGGCTCTCGGAGAGTCTGAGTGAGGACGGACCACAGGAGGACGAGGAGTTTGCGGCCTACCTGGACCTCATCAGGGACTACGAAAACCTGTCGATGGAGGCTCTGCGGGTGCTGGAGAGCACCATCTTCTCAGAGTGGCAGGCCACATGAGTTCCTGTACTCAGAGTCGGGCTCGTTGGGGAGGTGGGGCTGCGATGGACTGGCGACTGCCTCCCATCCTCCACTGACCAACTCCTGAACCTGATAGACTTGACTCCAGACAGTCAACTGAGCCTAGAGTTCATCTCTCTGAGACCTAGCTTTCCACTGGCCGCCAGAGGTTGCTGGAGTTAGCTCTTCTCTCCAACGTTTCATCCAGGAAGGTCTGGCTAGGGTGGACCTATCATCGAAATCACAACGGCTATACAACAGACAATTACTGTGTAAACGACCTCCAGTTATGATAACGAGCCACCGCCCGAGGTGAACATCTCTCTGGGGCGACCTGGATATCATCGAGGCAGAGTCAACCTCCACTGACGTACTACTACTGATGAGGGACGGTAATGTACTGCCACAGTTCACCACAAACGAGTTGGTCATTGTTGCCGTGCAGTCGACAGGACTCGGCCACTACACATGTGTGGCCATCAACCAGTGGGCACTGCGATGTCTATCGACACCAGTGTCACAGTCTATGAGCTCCACAGTTCTATCTCTCCCCAGAGTCTGTCGTCACCTACTTTGTGACGGAGATGGGCCTGGTTTGCTGCAACGCATCGGCCTGGCCCTACCCTGGCTGGAGGTGGTACCATCGCAGCTCTCCTGAGTCAACTGGACAATCGTCGAAGGAGAACTAACCAACGAACTACTTATCGTGATCCCAAGTAGAGGACGAGGGTATGTATGCTGCGAGCATTCAACTATCACGGCAGTGTTCGTTCCGAGCAGTGACCTGACACTTCTCCCGTTCACTGTGTCCCAGCATCATTTCCCTCTGGAGTTCTCCGTATTCATTTCCAATGGAACCTGCACAGCAGAAGATTTGTATGACTCCCTCTACTCCCTAATATCTGAGACTATCGATGGAGAAACGTCTACCATTGATGATTTTAATGTGACAGAAGTGGATTCAGAGAACTATGACGTATCCCTGAGTCTTGTGAGCCAAAACATCACCACACCCTACCTTCACCTCTCGACGTTTGCCGAGATTGCAAACTCAGCACTGCCTCACGCTAGGAGCCTTCGCAAAAGTGTACAACTGATGACTGATCTTCTAAATGGAGACACTGTGGGCCTCATCTGTCCGGGGACTGGATCTTCAGTCGTGGAAGACTCTCTGGTAGTGGTTAAGTTGAGGTACGTGTGTCCACCAGGAAAGAGACTCAACTCCGACTACCTCCTCTGCTGTAAGCCACTCTCTAACCCTCTCACTCTTGGTAGAAGCTGTGACCTGAACTCTATTTTAGTGAGCTGCGAGCGAGGGCACTTCTCCTCTGAGATCGAGCGTTCTCGGATTGTAAATGGAGTCAGTTTCAGTGAGAGTGTTCCAGTGTGTGAGAGATGTGCACTCTACACTTATGCCGATGCTCTCGGGAGCATCACATGCAGCCAGTGTCCGAATTACCACACTACCTCATTACCTGGAGCTTCCTCAGTCATGACTGTCTGCGTGAGTTAATGTCCTCACTTCATTCCTGTACCTAGTTTATAAGTATTTCTGTGTCTCCAGCTCAGCCACTGGTGCTGGAGTGTGAGGCTAGACCACCAGTGGCCACATTGACTTGACTGCAAGACAAACAGACCTCCTCAGACCACTCTCTGCTCCTTCAATGGCGGACTCAAACACCAGTGTATGCAGCTCCCACTTCCTTATGTAACTAGGTACATTCTTATGTAACCTCCAGGCAGGTTCCTACCCAGTGGCCATCAATAGAGATGTGTCTCCTCTGGGGAGCCCACACTCACCATCTTTGTTGAAGACGATGAGGGATTCAGGCAGAGGAAACCGTCCCTTACTTCCTCGAGGAAGACTCCAAACCCACTGGTTATCCTGTTCATGTAGCTCAGACCTTGCTATGCTAATGCCCTCGTTTCCTTTCCGCCTCAGCTGCAGTTCCTCCACTGAGGTGGCATTCATTAAGACTCTCCCTCTTGTCAGGAGACTCTGTAGAGGCCACATCCTTCTCTCACGACCTGTCAGTCTCTGGTCTGCAGACTCAAGGAAGATCCTTCAGAACGGAGAAAACTGTGAGCTCCTACTCCCAAATACATTACTGGGTATATTATACAAGTGGAAAAATCATTTCTTCAAAATGAAAGGGGGATATAGGGATGGCTTGAAGCGCCAAAAAGGAAGAAACAAGGGGTCATTACACAGCAAAGTTGCACAAAGCTACATGACACCATCCCTATATCTTTGTTTTATTGTTTATAAGCAAAGTTTCCCTTGAGCTAAGTATACATGCAAGACAACCTCTATTACAGAGCCGTATATAACAACAAAGATATAGGGATGGTGTCATGTAGCTTTGTGCAACTTTGCTGTGTAATGACCCCTGTTTCTTCCTTTTTGGTGCTTCAAGCCATCCCTATATCCCCCTTTCATTTTGAAGAAATGATTTTTCCACTTGTTTCCACTATTTTAACAGCTTCTGGCAACACTGCATTTATTGTTACAGTCACTCTGATGTTCATGGCTATGTTGTAGATAGGCTACCATAGACAAATTGAAAGTAGTAGCTAATGGCTGCTAGATACCATGTATTGTCTTCAACAAGGAGTGTAATTAGATTATTGCACATGGTTGTGGTTTCATTGGCAGGCTTTGGTAATCAGGCTACAACCTGGGGGGGACAAACAATGAAGGCCCATTTGATTGAGCGCCCCGCAAGGGTCGCGTAACACCGCGCAGACTCTGGCAAGTTGCTCTTCGTGCATATCAACAGCAAGATAGCCAGTTGGAAATGTGCACACCTTACTTACAGAAGGTACTGGAGGCTGACAGTTCCTCTGCAGGTCTGCCAACTCGCCCGGTAGAATACGCTCGCAAGCACATTGGACAACGCCCCTGCCTGGCGCATGCGCGCGGATCACTGATGCTGAGTAAGCAGCAAATGGCGTTGTTCAGGTCGACCAGGGAAGAGCTCCATGATCTACCGTAGTGACTAGCGGCAAAAAAGAAACGATCGCTTGATGTCCGTGCACACCTCCGGCGAAATTGGAGACCTTCAGTGAAAAAATCAGTGCTTGAACTGGTACTGGTAAGGAGATAGCGGGTTTAAAGAAGAAGAAGAAGAAGAAGAAGAAGAAGAAGAAGAAGATGAAGAATATGATGACACGAAAATCGTGAAATCGCGTATGAGCGAATTCTCGCGTGGACGACTGAAGGTGCGTATGAGCTCTTGGGGGACATGTATAGGTAGATATGGGCCCGTAGACTATTGCTAGTATGTTTTGAAGGCCTAGGAAGTGATTCTCACCGAGTTTTTAGTCGTTTTGTACGCGGATCACGTGAGATTTCACCCGTGTCATCCCTATATAGAGAGTCTACCGACTCTCTAATATAGCAATGCCTATAGTTGCCTCTTCAAACACATAAGCCAGTAAATTTGAATTGCAGGCTCCGGTGGTTATGTGGAGTTCTCTGGACTGAGTCCTGCTCTCTACACTCTGAGAGTAGTGGCCACGAATGATAGAAATGACAAAGCTTTCATTAAGACCCGTTTCGAGATCACAGATGACACGGAGCGCTGTACTCTCCACCTCATCAATGGTGGAGTGAGTGTGAGTGGAAACAGTGCCACAGTAGAGTTCACTGGGAGGGGACCCTGCCCACGGCTACCTCTGTTACCTGGACAAGATGGAGCCCTACCAGTGTATGCCACCGTCTGTGTAGCTACTGAGTTTGTTTCCAGGTAGCTAGTGGTGAGTTGTGGTGTCATATCTGCAGGCTCCAGTCCAGTGGTGGTGAGTGGGTTGAGTTCTGGGAGACATGTCCTGAAGGTGGTACCCACTGGCTGTGGCAGGAACAGAATGAACCTGAAAACTGACTTCATCATTGAGTGACAAACAATATTGTCAATGTTCATGTGAAACTGAAACGTTTTCTTAAAAACTACTAGATAGTTCTCAAACTATGTTTGTGGAAACTCTAATATAATTTTTTTTCACGTTGTGACTCAAGCAGACATCAATACAGCTGTTCAATGAAATGATCGTTGTAAACAAGTGGAAACCCTCGACGAACTGCGCATGCGCGGTACAGCTAAGTGATGTGTTGGCCTGGGTATGCGTTTACTCGTGGTCTCCCGCTAGTAGCTCACGAAGAGTCTCACACGGGCTAGCTACAGTAGTAGATACGTAGCATGCGGGAGTCGATAGGATACACATTGTTTGTTGCGACTTCAACACAAGCGGACCCGGTCGAGCCTCTGCTAATTAGCAATTGGCTTGTTCGCTTGATTTTCACGCCATAACTTCTGAACGCGGCACTTTTTACGAAAATCGCCGTTTTTGAAATGAAGCCAGTGTAGCGCTGAACCCGTCGGTGTCGCGTGGTGGCATCGAAAACGTGGTAACAGACGGACAAACAGACGGACAGACCAAGTGCAACCGTCGGTGCGCATGCGCGCAGAGGGTTAATTACACTTGTAAGCCATGCAAACTTAGTTTTTAGCCAGATATGGACAACATTTCATCGTTGGTCTATTGACATGAAGGCAACATACAGCGCACTTAGCTAAAAACATTGTTTTGTTCTTGTTACCCAGTGGGTGCATGTTTTTTTCCTGCCAACAGTATAGCTATCAGTAAACAACACTGTTGAAGGAAGGCTGAGTATCTATATAATATAGCAAACTAACTATGTTGTCAAGTTTGTTTCGAAAGACATTCCGTAAGGTGACTAGAGCTACCTGTGATAAGTCACCAACCAAAAATGAAGTGGTCTCCAAGAGCTGAACAAAGGCTTGATTTCTTAGTATATGAAATGGTTTTCGCTTTTTGGTGAGAACTTTTTACAGACAGTAATGTCACAAATCCCACAGTGTACAGGTATATAGTTCCGTGGGTGGTAAAAAATGATGAACATCTGTTGTCGTGGGGTGTCCATCGACTTTCAACCTACAGCACCTGGCTACATGTTATTTCTGTTACAATGTGTGCATTCTTCAATGCCAACAACATCTGTAAACAACTTGTTGATGGGAGACTGAGTACCTAGAATGGAAATGAAGTGGTCTTCTCTCCATTGTGCAAAAAGTCAAGTAATGCTGCCAACAACACTGATGATTGATGACGCAGTAGAAGTTATCAGCTTTCAAACCTTTATTGTGTTAAGTTGAAGTTGACCATTAGACATGTATATGTACTATGTTTCATGCTGTTGGGTAGCTACGCATGACTAAAGAGTCTAAGTCTCTGCATAACGTGTGAGATGCTACCAGGATTGACCATAATTTTTCCTCATTGTCACAATGTAGGTGGTGGGCACAAAAAACAACTATCCCATTGAAGAACATCACTAACATCTGTTTTCGTTGGGGTGTGGGAGTGGGTGCATGTTATTCTAAAGACCTTTAACATCTGTCGCTGGACCTGTTGTGTGTGTAAAACAAAGGACAGTTTATCTATGCACCTGCATTATGTAAAATTGTGTAATACTATGGCCATAAATTGTGTATGGGTAGAAAGTCTAGTGCCCAGACTATGCATGCGTATGAGTTTGGCACTACCGCAGCATAAAAAGCCAACTGAGCCAGAGACGGTTGGTTAGCTAGCTCAATAGCAGAGTTTGCTTATCAGGAACCATGCCTGTTTTTGGCTATGCTCTTGCTTTCATTTTTTTGGCTACTGCTATTCATCTGGTGGATGCTAATTATTATGGTGAGTATGTGAATGTCTACAAATGCTTACACTGTAGCCACAGTAAGGGCAATCTCATACCAACAGATTTACGTTGCTACTACAGCTACCCTCGCACTGCACGTGAGGATGCAGGGATGAGGCATAGCATAAACATCTATTCCAGAGCCAACATTACCAGAGAAGCATTTATTTACTTGGAATATTCCGATTGTAAGTTAATTCATTCACACTTTTTGTTTGATCCAATGAGTACAGATCCTTGGTATGCTATTCCTGGAGAGGACTTCGAGTTTCAAAATATTACTCCATCATCACGTTTCTTTAACTTCACCATATCTCCTGGAGTCTCAAAGAGATTTGATTGACTATCATCAATGATAGCCTTGCAGATTACTATAGAGAGGTAATTAGGCTTATCGTCGGGATTTATGTTCCTGGTGGAAGAAATCACTGCTGCAATGTCTATTTTTACATTGAGGATGATGATGGTAAACTGTAATAAAGTTGTATGGCAATAATATTTATTTATGATCCTTAGGTTTGCGATTTGATGTCACTCGCACAAGATATGGAGAAACCTCAGGGGACTGCAGAACTGTGTGTGACCTATAACGGAGGGGAAAATGTACCAACAAATATTGATGCTTCATTTGTTGAAAACAACTATGGTAAGGATTCTAGGGTGTCACTTTTTTCCATCACACAAATACCGGTGATGGCATGCTGATGCCTACAAACCTCATTATATTGCTCATCCACAGGTGATGCCATCATTTTCAATACCAGAAATTTCTCAATGGCTACTGGTGACAAGAAATGTTTCAATTTAACCATAGTTGATGATGACCAACTTGAGCCAACAACTGAGTCATATTACTTTGCTTTTGATGCACTCAACAGTTCCATCAGAAATAATCTCTTCTTTGGTCCTATTAATATCTACATACGAGATAATGAAGGTCAGTTTAGCAATCACATTAATCTTGTCTTGCGACTTTTTAACACAATTAATTCATAGCATCACTAAATATCGTTACAAGCAGTATATACCACAAAATGTAAGATGTTGTTGGCAGGACATCCAGTGAGAGAGTGGAATCTACTAAAAACCCCAATATAAAGTTGTGTCAAATTTGTTTGTTTACTCTCCTTAAAGTGTTCGTTTTCGCTTTTCCTGCCCATCTGCCTTTTATATAGCTACATATTTGTATGGGAATAGTATACTTCTACTGCTTGTGTAACTAAATGCCATCTTTGTACTCATGTAGTGTTCTCATTTGCTCTGGAGAGGCCATCCTACTCAGTGCTGGAGAGTGAGGGAGTAGTGACGGTCTGTGTGATTGTTACTGATGCAAATGTCTCTGAAGTGTTCACAACCATTCTCTACACCAGAAATATCACCACCCAAGGTATATTACGTATAGTTTCACTCAGAGTGTGTGTCACCATTTGTTACTGCATCACCTCTTAAAGACAAGGTTGATCATGAATCACTACGTCAGGAACTTAGTCTCTCAGCCAATCTGAGCAGGCAGTGTTTAAACGTTACCATCAATGATGATGATGTGGCAGAGGACGATGAAATATTTTGGATATCTCTCTCTCTGATAAGAAATGCTGCTGGAAGATATGTGCGCTACCCCTATAGAAGTAGAGCTACAATTATCATACTAGATGATGACTGTAAGCCAGTCAACCATTTCAGTGGTCAAATAAGTCCCTTTAAATAATAACCAAATGTCCTCAGTGAACTGTACTTCCGGCTGTGTGAATGGAGTATGTCGATATCCTGGAGTCTGCCAGTGTTTTGAAGGATGGATTGATGAAGACTGTTCAAGAGGTTAGCTATAATATATAAAGACATTGCCATTACATGAGGCTATAATAATGCATACATGTAACGAGGTAACAAGGCAAAGGCAAAGCAAACAGGTCAACTCCACCCAGGACAACTCTTCTTTCAGGAAATAGTAGAGCTGCCCTGGGTGGGATTCAAATGAACAACACTCCACTAAGTGAGCTACCATGGGCAACTCAGCTGGTAGGGGTTTGAATCTATATAATATACAAGACAAGGCAACCTCAAACGACCATGTGCTATGGCACAGTACACTTCACTCAGTATGTGCATGTATATCATCCACTACCCTAGAGAATTTGTCAGCCACCTTGTGTCATGGAAGGTGCAATGTCAACACTGGCCTCTGTGACTGCTCTCCTGGATACACTGGTGCCTCATGTGGTGAAGGTAAGACATTGCATAATTACAATTCCAGTCACCGCATTTCTCCAGTTATAAGACATTGCGATGAAGACAATGGAGGTTGTGACCAGATCTGCACCGACTTTCCTGGTGGCTACAGGTGTGCATGCAGAGCTGGTACAGTCTACTCACCTCAGATGGAACTCCTGCATGGGTAGGCTATGGACAGCGACGTGTAGTGTGTGCTTTTGATATGTCTGATACAGATATTGATGAGTGTGAGGGAGGGAGCCATGACTGCAGTCAGATCTGTGTCAACACTCCTGGATCATACCACTGCAACTGTCAGCGTGGCTTTCAGCTGGCGAATAGCACACACTGTGGAGGTAGGTATTGCTTCAAGTCCTTTTTGTGAGAGCGCTTGCATATTGTCATTCATGTATCAATCGCAGATGTGAACGAATGTGAACTCTTTCCTAGTGGGTTCTGCAGCCAAGTATGTATCAACACTGATGGATCTTTCCGCTGTGAATGTAGAGAGGGATACCGCCTGTTTGGATCATCTTTCTGCACAGGTATGCACGGCATTATTGATGAGTACTCTCTAAGATAATACATGTATTCTTTGTAGATATTGATGAGTGTAGTGAGGGGATTGATAAATGCAATAAGAGTGGACCCACACCGTCTCGCTGTATCAACACTGAAGGGAGCTACAGTGTTACTTGTGATGAACATGTTGGTACGTTTAGCTACTGACAACATAACTTGCAAAGGTATACATTTCTCAACTACACACTAACATTTTAGAACTGTTTCAGATGTGGATGAATGCCAAGAACAGCGTGGCTCTGCACCAAGGGCATGAGAATGTGGTCAACACGACTGGTTCACAGTTGCTCTTGTTTGGAGGATGATGAATATAAGGTGGATCAGATATTTTGTGGTGGTTAGTGAACAACTTACTAATATAATAATCAAGTGATAAAAAATGTTACTGAACAGATGTAGATGAATGCAGGATCATGAATGGAGGTTGTCAGCAATCCTGTACTAATACATTTGGGAGCTTCAGATGTAGTTGTGAGCAGGGATATAGGATGTTGGATGATGGATTCAATAATTGTGAAGGTAAGTATATACATTTGTGGGAAAGAAAAGAGAGGAGAAAGAGGGAAGGAGGAGAAGGTCAAGGGACAAGGGACGATGTTCTTTTCATCTCACTCTAACAGCTCTCAGTTGTGATCCAGTTCTTGAAGCTCCACTGAATGGTTCTATGGACTGTGACACACAGACAGTGGGTGGGACTTGCAATTTCACCTGTGACGAGGGCTACACTCTGAGAGGCTCAGACAGTCGGACCTGTCTCCCCTCCCTCCAGTGGAGGGAACCTCCCGCCATATGTGACCCTCCAATGTGCCCTCGCCTCACTCCTCCTGACAATGGATTTGTGTTGTTCCCATGTACCAGAGAGGAGGGCCATCTGTGTCGTGTTGTGTGTGCCCATGGCTACAGCTTAGAGGGTCCTAGCAATCAGACATGTAGAAAGGATAACTCGGGCAGTCTTGTGTGGAGTGATGGACCACAGTGTGTGGGTGAGTTGGCTTTGTAACGAAAACCCTCCTCTTGTGGCCTGCCTTTGATAAGTTCAGTAGTAAAGTAAGAAGCACTATTACAGTAGAGTGAAAATGCACGTGCATTAGTGGATGAAAGGATTTTCTGTGCACACAGCTTGTAGTAGCTAGTTCCATGGTTTTGTATATGTGATAGGCTCTGAGAAAACATGCAATTTCTAGTAGCAGCACTGGCTTGATTCCCAGAGTGGAAATTGTTGACTAGAAATGAGTGTAAGCTTCAGGTTTTAGCAGACGGGGCTCTATTGTCAAAAGCCTGCATAAATTTTTGGCTCAGAGTTCTTTCCGTTCTTCACTTATAGCCCAAAGTGTCAGACAAGTATGGCTACTCAAACTTGCGCAATAAGGGTTGTTTACTCAGGTCTCTGCAATTTGCATATATTCAGATATAAAAAGCAATGGTGAAAGGCAAGAAATTGTTAGCTAATGTTATACGCATGGTGCAAGTCATTAACCCTCGGCGTGCATGCGCAGCAAGGTAATACGTTTGTCTGTGTGTCTGGCGATGCTTATTCTGGCATTACAGGCTACAAGGCGGCCTATAAGCGATACCATAGGTTCAGAACTACGCAAGCCGGAAAAAAAAACTGGCGATTTTCTTGAAACGACAGCGTTCAAGAGATATGCCGAGCGAAAAAGGCAATAGCTATGCCATTGCTAGGTCGTTGCTAAGTTTATTCTAGTACCACTAAGTGGGTAATAAGGTGACAATATCCCAGTAGTTAGGGTGTATATCTGAGGAATGGTGTGAATATCTACTGTGGGTGGGGTTGGATATCATAGCTCAAAATGTACAGATGCATAGCAAAATCATGGCAAAATGCAGAAACCACGCATTTTAGGTTGAATACGTAGCTCATAGCTAGTCGAAAAAGTTAGGACACTCGACGTTTCTGTGCTCTGCGTACCTTGGAGACACAGGGAGGCACAATGAAGGGCATGTGTCGACTGCCGCATGCTATCTACTAGTGTAGCTAGCCCGTGTCACACTCCGTAACGGGAGACCTCGAGTAACAGCATACTCTTATAGCTCAGCCCATCAATTAGCTGTACCGCGCATGCCCAGTGCGTCGATGGTTTGCACTTTAATTATAGCTCGGTTGGTAGAGCGGTCGCCTAGACAGCAGAGTGCCGTGGGTTCGAATCCCAACCGGGGCAGTTTTGTTCCTAAGAAAAAAGAACTGTCCTGGGTGTAGTTGACTTGTTTGTTGTGCCCTTGCCTTTCTACCTTCGAGTTTTCAGATACAATTTCGCATTCTATTTCAGAAAGTAGTAAATGTTCTCCCAATCCTTGCTTGAATGGAGGATTTTGTATTGAGGATGAAACTGACTTTACTTGTGTGTGCAATGGAACAGCAACTGGTTATGGTGGAGAGACTTGTAAAGCAGTCATTGTGAATTTCGAACCAATCCCACCAGTTACAAATGGACTAGATTTCCAAATAACTTTATACACTGATGTAAAAGGATTCAGTGAAAGGGTAAGAGTGAACATTGACAGGCCTAAAGCGAGACGTGTGCTACGTGTGAATGGTGGAGAAAAAAGTCCTGCAACTGTAACAGGTGCAATAGGGGTAGTTAGAGTTAGTTTACCGAGAAGTACTCCCAAAGTAATGTATGTGCCACGAGAGAGAAATGTATACATATCTGGTGGCTCAGATAATGAGACACAATCGTATTTTGAACGGTTTAATCTCACAAGAGGACTGCTGCAGCCAAGTTGTTGCAGTGCAGATGATCATGTCACATTATCCTGTCCTGGGGGCTCCACTCAGTCAATATCACTGCTGTCTCCATGTCAGTGGAGTACTACCAATGTGAAAGTGACAAGAGCAAATGGTGCTGTGTTTGCTAAGAGCGGTAGTTTATCTCTACCAACCTCAGTCTCTGGTCTAAGGTATAGGGAGATACGCAATACACGCTACACAAATGACCTTAGAGCAACTCCCAGTGAGTGTAAAGTTTGCAGCGAATGCAACAACACAGATCCTACGTGCTATTGCTACATTCACACACAACAAGACACGGCTGTGTTTCTCCAAACCAGGGCCTTGGCCTTCACTTACATCTCCCAAATCAAATCTTTACTTCCACCTTGGTTGGAACTGCTTGTAGATTTACAGATGTCATTAGAGTCGACTGGAGCGACTAAAAACGACCTGTTTGCTCCAATAACTCGACCCAGTGAGCCAGTTTCCTCGTTTGAAGGTTGCGACAAACTCACTACCCTGGAAGGTAGTAGGTATTCAGTGTTGAGACATGACAAAACTCTGTCAGCAGTTATCGACAGCCAGAGATATGACTACAGAGAGGACAATGAGACTGGGACCACTGGAGATGTCATGTGTTTTGCAGTTGACTTGTGTCATAAATCAGAGTCTCCAGTTCACATGCAGCTCTCCCAGCCAATCAATGACATTCTAGTCTACCAGTATCTCCGTGGGTTCACTGACAGACAGTGGAACATTCTCCTCAATACCGTGTCAGTCTTCAAACAGTCTGTTACTCAAAGTAGTGATGGTATGTTTTGGAATGGAGTGGAAATGATATCGTTTCCTGGTATAGAGACTGACGTTTCAGTGAATGGATATGTTTTATCCAAATTTCATGAGAATAATAGCCTCGATATGGACATTGAATTTAATGGAGATGTTTCACTCAACTATACAGTGAGTAAAAGATTATACAGATAGTATGATATTCTTCCTTAATTGTATCGTGTAGGAGCGAGAGGGACTGCTCAATGGAAAGGTTACGTTGAATGTATCTAGTGTGATTGCTGGAGGTGGACAAAACTTCATAATCAGCAGCCCTAGGAGCGCACAGGCCTATGTTCATGTTGGAAGTAAGGATTTCGTATTCATAGTTACAAGCTCTCTCACTAATCATCTCATTATGTAGATGCTGATCCTTGCAATAATAAAGGATATGGACTGTCATTCACAGCAAGTTACCGGCCACAACCTGGTGAGCTGTTCTTCACACGACTTTTCCGATTCACTGAAATCACTCAGAGCTGTAGCTTCAGTGCCTTCTTGCCAATAACCAGTGACTACAGAGCTCTTGGTCTCAGTCTACACACTGAGTGTCCTCTTCTTGCTATTGGACACCTCATCTTGCCTGAAATGTCCCACACTATCACCTTCATTGGATCAGAGAATCCTAACTGCTTCACCAGTAACTTCCTTGAAGTTCCAGACCCAGCTCTTGTGATTGAATCTGATTTGCTCAACAATCACTCGTCTCTTGGGAACATCTTTAAACTGCAGGCCAACTCTACAGGTCCTGATGTAGTGACTGTCTTTGGAAGAGAGGATTCCGGACCAGTCTCTCAGTTTCATTCAGTACAAGTGACTCTGTTTGCAGGAGTGTTTGAGTCAGAGGCCACCGTCAGGAATGATCAGCTGACAATCTCCACCAGTAGTGGTATTGTGTTTGGCTATCCAGCTGAGCTGACCATCACTGCACCTTCACA